CCTACACACCTACCCATCCTAAGGCGAGCGTGCCTATCAAGCACGTACGTATACCAGAAACCGCCCCTATCCCGTGGACAGTGTGGAAACATTTGAGACGGGGGCTTATATGTAGGTAGGTATGTGTGGGGGGAGGGTGTTCGTGATGCGACTCGCAAGAGTAAGTGGCTTTCTTACACCTGCCTGCCCGCCTGCGCGCCGTATGCTGTGCCCGGGGCGAGCCGCACACTTGGGATAGGTAGGTACCTAGGTAGATCGTCTGGCTATTGGGGGGCTGGACTGGATGCTTTCGCCTCCTTTTGCCCCCCCCCCCCCTGGCGAGCAATATATATATATATATGCGGTTGCTATGCGTGCTTTGCTTTCTGCATACATAGTACTAACCTAGTAGACTCCTAATTTAGGCTATTTCTTTTCTGGGACGAGGCGGGTTTCTTTGGTTGGTTGGTTGGTCTGTCTGTCTGTCTATACGGATGCTTCTTAGATGCTAGATGTTACTGTAGAGATACTGTCTATTAATTGCTCGATTAGGATGTACTATTCCTAAAAGATGTCATCGAGATCTCGCTGGGACCTTGCCGTGATTCTACTTATTATATCTATCTATTGTTATGCTACTGTGACATACATATAATTCCCTACTATCTAAGGATAGCACCGGCTGGTACGTACGAAGGGCACCGTAAACTATCTAGCGCATTGGATTACAAAAGATATCTCAAGGCTGCAGAGACATAGCTCAGAAGTATACAGATGAGAGAGCTTCGGTATGGATAAACGGTAGCTTATTGAATCTCTATAGTAAACGATAACCCAGGAGTTGGTATGATTAAGAATAGATGGCAAGTGCCTGGTTTTAGAGATTGAATACCTCTCATTTAAAACCTATTCCATATTACATATAGTTTCAAGGCAAGACGGCCCTCCACTAAGGAATATTATATTTTTGCATATTATCTCAAAAGGCTCTGTACCTACTACCGTCTTGCCTTCTCCTTCTCCTTCTGCTCCCTCCGCCACTCCTCCACAAACTCCTCCATCTCAACGTGAACACGCAGTCTCTTCTCGCACATCGTATTATACACTGACTTAAGCTCAGAAGAATCCATGTCTCTACCTAGCGTGATGAACGCCTCCATGAACACCTCCTTCGACCAGGGACAGCACTGGAGTGCTCGATAGAACACGCTCTTAGCCTTAGCTCTCAGCTCCTTTCTGTCGTGGCAGAATCTAATATACGATATCCAGAGACCCGGATGGTTTCTGCACGCCTCGCTTCCGAAGGCGTGCTCGAATGCTGCCCGCGTTGAATGGACGTTCCCCGTGCGGGACTCGTATTGGATGGCGAATACGCGGCTGCTGATGCAGTCGTGTGGCTCGACGAGAACGACTTTGTCGAGGATTGAACGCACCCTGTCGTCGATACTAAGGCGCGCTTCTCTCCATGCGTAAAGGCTGAGGAAGATTGTATTTTGGGGAAAGAAGTTGATATACTTCGTCAGCTGCTCGCGGAGGAACCCGGGTCTAAATGGCCTATTTAGGTGAGTATTAGTCGGTGCGCAGGAGCCTTTTACTTAGATGTGGTTTACTTACCCTTGACTAGCATGATAGTAAAGTAAACGAGCAGCAAATTGGAGTAGTCTCTCATGAGATGAACTACTCCTAAGATCTCGAGATACTAACTCATCAGAACAGGTAGAGATACTGGATATTGCGGACCAGATATCCCCTTGGCTTCCGCTAGAGGGTTCCTTATTGCTCTGTCGTGTTAAATATTCAAGCAGCGCTAGACCTTTGGCATATATGATGGCATTCTCAGCGTCGCCTGACGACAACAAATAGTCTCGGTTCGATGATAGGAAATGTCTTGTCTTCAGTATCTGGGCCGTGGAAGCTGGCGGGCCTTCCGATATTGATCTCGTAGAAGAGGCATCATCTGACAATATACATAATTGTAGAGTTGCTTTAGCCAAATTACAATCTTCAAGCTCCATCCATGCGGCAGCAATGTTCAGAGAGGCCTTGTTATGAACTGAGATGGCTGGCAAGCTCATCGCAGCGGGAATTGTAATGCGAGCGATATCCTTGTTGCCTTTTTTCCATTCGAGTATACAATAGCCCAAGTATAAGTCGACGTTCGTAGAATCTTGTTTCAGGAGTGCTTTTGCCGTTTTCTTTTCATGCCCGGGCTCGTTCATCGATTCAAAGGCGAGATAATATGGGCCCAGCTCACGCATGCCAAATTTACAAACGAGCTGCTTTAATGTAGTCGAAATCCACGTGTATTGATCCGCGGGAACGTCGCCTCGAATCTTCTTCATATTTCTAAACCAATTTGGTACCGGAAAGAGAACCTCTGGTGTGATTTCCATTCGCTCATAGTCATGCGAGAACTCTGGCGGTCTTTTATTTTGCTCCTCGGTATTTATAATCGGACTAGACGAGCCCTCTATGGTGATTGGGTCCGCTGGGCTACGAACGAGGAAACCATCCTGAAGCATATCCCGGACAATTTCGCTAGAAGAGAACGCTGGGGGTAGTTGGCAAAATATCAAAAATGCATCTAGCAGTTGACGTTGAAGACTAGGAATAGCCTCGTTAGGAAGATGTAAGAGTATATCCTGGATGTCTGCGTACATGACGACTCGGAATGGATCGTCCTCTGTTCCAGCGTCCATGGTACGAACGGGGTTTGCCGCCACCCGAGCTTGGTGTTGCTCAAGGATTGACCACGCTTTATAACCATCTCGGGTACTTGGAGATATGAATTCAACTGGAGTTTTGGACTCGGGAAGTTCCGGTGTTTGCTCGCCTTGTGCGAAAGTTACCCATCCCAAAGCCCCATCCTCTCCTATCCGCGATGCCTCGCTTTCCCAAAAATCCTGGAAGCCAGATGGCGGAGCAATGGATATTTTCTCGGGGAAAGTGGGTGGACGCGCAAAGGTTAATTCTAAGGCAGCCTGCCAGGCTGCTATACCAAGTTCCTTATACCCAGAATCTGCGATGAAACGTGTAGTTCTTAAGAAGACATAAATCATTTGTTCATAGATTCGAAATTCGGTTGACTTGTCTTGTTCCATCAAAGCCTCCCTTGCTAACCGGTTCAAACGCTCGGCGTAGTGGCGTTGGATTTTATCATATTGAAATGTCGATAATCTTGTCTGCTGGAAGTTTGTATACTCTCTCCATAATTCAAAACTAACTCCGTGTTTCTCTAGAGCCGCGTCCCATCGTCTTGAAATAGTTATACTGTCCCATATCTTCGAACCTTCTTGCATGATTCTTAGCTGCAACCTCTCTCGCTGCGAATCGGTGGTTGCATGAAAGTAGGCTTGCTCAAGCAAGGACAGTTTGATATCAGCAAAACTCTTAACTTCTGCTGCGGTAGGATGGCGACTGTCTTGCCCACTTATTCGCAGAAGGGTATCTTGATGATTGACGAGTTCCTGCCAAGCATCAATGTCTTGCGGGTTGTCACGGACCTTCCTAGACAGCTCAATCGTCTTTAAGCCCGTAGGCTCATCCGTACCTCGGCCTTTTGAGCCTGTAGATGTCTCACTGCTGTAATCCACATCACTATCGGAATGCTCGTGGCTTTTGCTTTTGCCATGGATTGACCTATAGGCTTGTCCTTCGTCGCTCGATGAATCCGCCAGTTCAGACCCATCCCGCTTTCGCTTTCTTGATGCCTTTAAGGGTACAAAATCCTCTGAACCGGTCACAGTTTGGGACTGTTCTCGTCGAACCCTAATAGGCAGCGATTTAAAATGACCGCCCTTGGCTAGAAGGCTTTTCCTATCACTGCCGAGTAGGGAACCGCTTTCACGAGAACCTAGCAGAAAGAACTCATCACGGCTACCGGTATGGTCAATTCTCATGTAGCCATTGGCCCCCAAGATACGGCCGAATCCAAAACGGCGGTAATTAGGGACATCACGGCGATCGTTACCGCCATATCTCCGAATCAAGGAGTCGCCTCGCTTATCATATACGAAATAGATGTTTTTATCTTGTTCTAGCGAGGAAGGTCGCTGCGAGAGCTTATGATAACGGAATTTCTCCGTGTGACGGGATATAACCCCTGGCGAATCTTGGCGTTCGCGTCCTGAAATAGAAAGCGTACCGCGTTGTTTCAGCTCCTCAGGCTCGGCCTCATTTTGGGGTTGAGGCTTCTCAAGTTGAGGCTTAAACGAGGAAAACTTGGGTACGGTGGATGGTTTATCCTGTTTCGATGACATGACGGAGAAGTATATCTTACGGTATACTCATTCTGTTGGCACGTTTGGTGCAATAGCGCAATATGCCGCTCTGTGCCCCCCACATGCAGACTAGGTACTAAAGGATGCTATGCTGTTGACCATTCAGGACGGGTATGCTAACCTAGATGGATCTACCTTGGCTGCACATGCCGCTCGTAAGATTTCGAGACTAGCTGCTGGGTTATCCTTGGGATCGAATATTTACCATACATCAGATATTAAGCGAGTACGGATACATTCGAGCTTATCAAGCACTACAGCATCAAATCCTGATGCTACTACTATGGCCTCTCCGGTAGCCGGTATCTAGTAGTAATAGTCGAGATGAGTAATATTCAAGATGGTGGAGGTTTTGGAAGTTGTTTGGATGAAGTTGAATGGCTGAATGGTGGCTTCATGTTGTGGCTTATGGCTAATAGATGCATGCAGAAAACACGTTTTGTGGATCTTGATGATGTAATACCTCACCTAAGAGACTCAAGCTTATGTATTGGACCTTTTGTTAGTCTATGTACCTATGTACATGTAGAATTTAGGGGATTTTCTTAGCTGCTGTTTCACGCGGTTACAGCGGGCTAATTGTGCTACAGTGGGATTGTTACACACCATCGATCAATATGTAGGCACATATCATAAGCAACACGATGATATAATTCTCCACGTGCTTCCGGTTTCCCCAATGCGAATGAACAATTAATGCATGGAGAAGCTTTCAAAGCTGCAAGGCAGGCCCTTTTTTTTTTTTTTTTTTTGGTCACACCATCTCCGATCCCCCCCACTAACATCTCCATCTGACCTTTATTAGTAGCTGACCATCACAGTAGCTTCTGGATACCACAGTCTTACTGGAAAGCGAAACCTATTCTTTATTGGCTTGTTCTTGGCGAATCTGCAAAAGGACAAAAATGCAGAAATGCAGAAAGACAGAAAGACAGAAAGACAGCGATATTGTAAGACAATGAGGCGGAAGGTATGATAGTTCTTACTCGGTAAAAGCGGAATTAACTGCTGACGCTCTCGATACCCCCTAGCATTACATAGGTACCTAGGTAGGTAGTGTATATCCGTAACCGGGGTATAGGGACATTACTACGCCATTAACAGTATTAACTATCGACTATCATACAATACAGCTTCCAATTTGGAAATTCCCACTTGAGCTCGCCCAACTTGTCCAGCTTCATCTAAACCCACCGTCCTTCTACCTACTCTGCTCACTATGAATTGTGCTCCATTCAAATGACCCTATAACCCCCGCGCGTAACCCCTGCTGAATGCTTCACGCGCCTCATGTTGCTCAAAGCGTAGTTCCCTGAGCTAACTGCTGTCCATTCCCGACATTCTGCATCACATTATACTACATCTTACCAGGCTTTAACACGTTCCTATTGCTTCGATACGCCATACGAGGTATGAATACGTACGATACCGTACCTCCCTCGCAGGACTCCTACGGGTCAGTTCCTACTTCGCCTATACATCATCGCCATCATTCGAGAAGATCTAGGCCACCTTCGATATCCGAAGCGCCTGATGAAAATACCGCCCTCCTGCGACCCTCACGCTCTCGCGTGCGCATTCATAGTCCCCTAGAAACCCCTAGAGGGTTTCTGTCAAGGGCTCATAGCTTTGCCGGTTTGTTTACTGAAGCATCCCCCTCATCGAAAGTCGTTGCATATGTACTAATTTAACCCTTCTCTCTGCATCAGCAACACATCATGGGGCGCGATATCATAACCGACATGAATCATGGGGACAACGGTTAATACAGGCGCTTTCGGATCGGACCGATCCCATGTCCGAATCTAAGAGTTCTCTTCTTGCTGACGAACGTATCTGGTACGACCAATTTACCTCGACCGACTGGGTTCACGATAGTATCGCCGATGCCTACCGAGTTAAACAGTTGCGGAGTCGGAAAGGCTTTTGGGGCAGACTCGTCGTTTTATTCGATGGCGCCCAGGGCTGGATACTAAGTGCTGTTGTTGGCGTTCTGGTCGCGCTAGTTGCTTATTGCGTGGATGTGGCTGAGACAACTATCTTTGACTATAAAGATGGCTACTGCGTTCGAGCGTGGTATTTAAGAGAAAAGGTACCGACTACTCAGCCCTATATACACCTATACATTATTATTATCATGATGGCGTCTCGTTTAGCTGAATATGCAGGGGAGCTGACAATGCGAACAGAGGTGTTGTCCCCACGGTCCATGTACCGATTGGCGATCTTGGTCTGAAGTTCTCGGTGGCCATCCCTTCGGCGAGGTTTGGACCAAATTTGGTGTTTACATCATCGCCGTCCTTTTGCTCGCGGTGCTCTCGTGTCTGCTCACCCTAACGACCAAGACGGTAGTCCCTTCGGCCTACCGAATGTCAACATTGGATGAGAACTTGGCTGCCGATTATTCTCAGCAACCGGAAGATAATAATAACGATACCGATGAGAACGGAAGTATTAGTCCAAGAGCGGTACGGCAAACGCAAGCCGACCCGCCACCACCCATGGTGTATTATTCCGCAGCTGGCAGTGGTGTCGCCGAAGTTCGCGTCATTCTTAGCGGATTCGTTTTGCACGGGTTTCTTGGTTTCAAGACTCTCTTCATTAAATCCGCGGGACTGATCTTGAGTGTCGCCTCTGGCCTAAGCTTAGGTAAAGAAGGCCCCTACGTCCATATCGCAACTTGTATTGGCAACATTTGCTGTCGACTTTTCTCTAAGTACGATGATAACGACGGTAAGAGGCGCGAAGTATTATCTGCCGCAGCTGCGGCGGGTGTAGTTGTGGCATTTGGTGCTCCTCTCGGTGGCGTTCTATTTGGTCTCGAGGAGGTTGCCTATTACTTCCCAGCTAAGACGCTTTTTCGTACCTTCTTTTGCTGTATTGTCGCAGCTCTGACCTTGAAGTTTCTCAACCCGTATGGCACCCACAAGATCGTCATGTTCGAAATCCGGTACAAAATCGACTGGGAGTGGTTTGAATTGTTCGGCTTCATCTTAGTAGGAATACTAGGCGGTGCTATCGGTGCTCTTTTTATCAAGGCTTCGCGTCGTTGGGCTCTATCTTTCCGTAAGATTCCAGTCATCAAGAAATATCCACTGTTCGAGGTTGTGCTAGTAGCGCTAGTAACAGGACTCGTAGGATATTGGAACACCTTAACTAAGCTTCCGGTAGCGAAGCTCTTGTTGAACCTTGCTGCACCGTGCCAAGACGACAGCAGGGATTCTGAGTTGGGGTTATGTCCGTCGGATATTGACGAGATACCTGGCATCATTCGAAACATTCTTGCCGCTTTTATCATCAAGACGTTTTTGACAACTATCACGTTTGGTATTAAGGTTCCTGCCGGTATCTATGTCCCTTCTATGGTTGTCGGCGGCCTCATGGGTAGGGTCGTTGGCCATCTTGTTCAATGGATAGTGCTTCGATTTCCACACTGGAGTATCTGGGGGACCTGCCCGCTTCTTCAGGAGTCTACGTGTGTTCAGCCCGGCGTGTATGCACTCATTGCTGCGGGCTCAACAATGTGTGGCGTAACGAGACTATCTGTCACCCTCGCGGTCATCCTCTTCGAACTTACCGGAAGCTTGGACTACGTCCTGCCTTTCTCCTTGGCTATTCTCGTTGCTAAGTGGACAGCAGATGCCCTAGAGCCGCTCAGTATCTACGACCTCCTTACTAACATGAATGCTTATCCATATCTGGATAATAAACATAAGCCGGTCTTCACCTCCGAGTTTGCTGATATAGTTTCCCGCGTTCGTCGGGAACGTGTCATTGATATAAGTGACTCGCCGCTAGTCCCGGCCACACAACTCCGTGGCCAACTCGAACTGCTTCATCGGGCCGGTGAGTTAGATGGAGGATTACCAATTGTTAGGGATGACGTCCTCGTCGGCCTGATCCCGGCCCCTGACTTAGAATATGCCTTGGACAGCCTCGAGGACGAGAGCTCCAGCTTTTGTCTCATGGCGAATATACCAAACATCGACGAAGGCGAATCTCCAGAGTGGGATCCTACCGATTTCACCCCCTACATAGACCCAGCTCCCTTTGCTCTAGATATTAATTCCCCCATGGACTTGGTGTACGAATGCTTTGCGAAGCTCGGTTTACGATACATCTGCGCGTTGAGAGGCGGATGTTATGCTGGAATGGTAAGTCTCTATATGACCATCACCATCTTGATAATATTAAATACTGACCGGCACAGACTCACAAAAAGAGATTTGTAAAGTATATGCGCGAATTGGAGGAGAAGGAGCACAATCTCTAGGCTCCTTTTTCTTTTTTCTCTCCTTCTAATGTTGGAGACCATAGTTTCTTAGGAGTAATGGGTGTATATTGTAACGAGACTACTTGAGGCTCGAGTATATAGGGTGTGTTACGTTACCGCATTGTCATGGAATTATCACGGAATATTTTCCTTTCGGCATCGTTGCATGAGCCTAGCGTTTGGAATGAATGGCATCATCTCGTCTTCTGATAAATATTTTCTTCTTCTTATGAACGGATACGTGAAGGCTGCTGTGTGACTATCGGGTGGGAAGCTATACGAGAGTTTGTGTGATACTGCCCTTGGAAGGTAAGTAGATAGATATGCTGAAGTTCGGTTATGACTTGGTTTGGCTACCGGTAAGTTAGGGCTCTTATGGTGTTGATAGTCTTCATCTATTTATTATAATATTTATATTTTCTATGGTTACTTGTTGTGCCAAATGCGACATTTCGAAAGAACTTCCGCTATCTACCTATACGGCACTATTTATTTTAGTTACGCCTCTCGCGTCAGCCACGTTCGAAGCCGCATGTATAGGTTCTTGCCTTATCGTGACCTGTCCTATTAAACACACTTCTCGGTGGCTGATGCGGAAGTCACGTGTCGCGAAAACTATAAGGGAAGAATATGTATATATGTAGGTTACCTATGTAGGTTACCTATGTAGGTATGCATGTAATCGTATATTGTACAACATCAATAAATCAACTTCGAACCTGGATATCATAAAGCCGAGTACATGTCTTGAATACAATCCAACCACCTTGCCAGAGTATAGAAATGATAAGATTCCCTAGTAACATTAAGGGGATATAAAAGGGGTATTTCAGTATCTGTAAATATACATTAGTATCCAAACCCGCCCAATGCAGCATCGCATCTAGTCCGCACCATATAGGACTACATGTTGTTTCCTAGCATCTCGGATAAGGCCGTGTTTCCGGTCGAGACAAGCCTATTCTATCAAACAGCCCTCCGATTTTCGGTTTCGTGTCGCTAATAAATTAACCAAACCAGCACGTAACTCAAAGATTTAGTGGCCTCCATCGAGTTCAGAGCGGCGGGTTCCGTCAAGCTCAACTCTCGCGGGTCTCTCGGGGTGGTGGTACTGAGGAGGATATCCACTTTCCAGCTCCACGGGATACAATGGCGGTTTCTGCGCTGAAAGTTGCGTCACCTCTGGCATCTCTGGCAGATCGTCGTTGTGATTAGGGCTCGTAGCAGCAGCGGCGGCTGCGGGCGTTTGGTAGTTGTTACTATTCCTTCGTCTCCTCCACAAAAAGAAGCCACCTGCTACAAGGGCGATAACTACAAGGGCGGCGCCGACACCGATACCGGCTGAAGCACCGGCACTTAAACCATTGTCGGGGTTTGCTGTTGGTGATACAGCAGGTAGCGAGGTGGTACTTTGGGTAGCACTGCTGGATGGCGGGCTAGTGCTAGACGAACCAGAGGCACTAGTCGACGACGAAGATGTGCTCGTGCTGGCGGGGGCTCTTGTGATGTTAAAGTAACGCGAGGTGACGGAGAGCGGGTTCGGGTCACCTGATTCTAACGGTGACAGCCAAAGGAAAAACATGTCGAAATTCGATAAGTCGAACTCGAACGCCTGGACCGACCAGTCAAATTGAGTTACAGCACCAGACCGCGTCTCTGCTCAAGTCAGTTGTCACGTCTTGGAAAAGGGGTTATGATATTTTCCTTACGGAATATGCTTGGTCCAGCCGATGCAGAGCCACCCTATAGCGATTAGAGTTAGTAACCATGCTTGCAAGAGATTTATGGATTTGAGGCACAAGTCGGGAAGAATTCGTCGATTAGCTTAATTAAGAAGTTTACTGCTTCTAACATCGACCAAGACATAAAAGGAAAGCGGCCTTAACGTCATGACTTACATCTCGGCTCTCCTGCCATAGATCAATGGTGTAATTTGAATATGTGGTAGTGAACTTGATAGTTTGGATCTCGCCGAGCGTCCATACTGGGTTCGTCGAATAATCGGTTGGCCCATCGAGGGCATTGGGAGGGTTGAAGAACTTGCCAACCTTGAGCGACTCTTGCTGCGCTCGTACGGTCGAGGTAGCAAACACCGCTAAGAAGGCGATGAGCGATGACGGCCTAATCATCTTTCTGGAGCCGGGGGGGTTCGCGATGTTGGCCCTTATAAGCCCATAACATTTACGGTGTGGGATAAACAGAAGAAATTCCTATCCCAGAGATCAGGAAGAAACGAACGAAGACGGGAGTTACTTGGGAACGGAATGCCAACAAGCTTTTGTCAGCAAAAGGTCCAGGCCCGGGTGGGAAGGTATGCGGCACAATACTATGTACACTAATAGCGGTCCAGCAGCAGGGAGAATTCTGTAGGGCTTCGAGAACTTAGACCATGTTTCCCTACGAGCTAAAGCATGGGCTGCAGTAGGGAAGGAAAGTAATTTTGAAACGTGGAGCTGAATCCTGGCGGCTATGTTGTAAATACATAACCAACACTGGTTCGCCTAAGGAGTCTAGGACTGTTCGGACTTGGACCCATTACACAGCATCGGGAACTTTTGCACAACTCGACTTTTATTTTACTTTTCGTCTTGACCTTTTGAAGTTCTTCCCTTTTATTAAACTATACGAATTTGAATCGAGGCCGCGTTTAGTTGTATTATGACATACGGATGTGTTATCACATTGTAGTATAATAATTTTATAATTTTAGATACCTAGGTAGTTAATATCTAATATCTAGGTTAGGATGTAAGTAGATAGGTATGTAGGTAGTCATCACCGCAATAACAAAGTAACAAAGTAACATGGCGAGCTGAGCGAGTCGAAGCTTGGTATGTCAGCACTAAGATAGCGCCTATGTCATAATACAGGTTTAAAATGTATTAATATGGTGGCTTCTACAGCACGCGAATCCAATCCCGTCTATATCTATCTACAAGCAGTTACGATCGTACCGGCGGGTCCATAACTAGGCTACAAAACAGCAAGGCGTGAAGAATGCGCTAAACCCTTCCCAATCTAGTTTGTTACCAATATTACCAACGTGCATAAAGAAAATAGCCAAGCAACTGCAGCTTGAGCGATCGCCCCCTTGAGTTTATTTTAATTCTTTGCATGTAGGTATCTGCACGGGCAGCCGGGTTACCTAGGTACATGTACCGTCGTACGTATTGTACAGCAGCAACTTATGACCTATTTTCGGGAAGGTGCCGTAGTTAACTGGTTTCGCATTTAACTTTATTTATTTTTTTCATACTGATTAAAGATACGGGATGCTAATCTACCCTTTCCAATGTCTTTCCTCATGTCGTCGGCACGCCGACTTTCCTATCCCGTCCTCATCGCTGTAAGCGCCCTTTTGGTCGTTTCGGTATACCTTCTCTCCACTAGGGGAGAAGGAGTACCATACCTCAACGCCGCCGGAAGGACAGCGACAACTCCACAGCCCGAATTAGCGGATATCGACGATACTCGCAACAACACTCTTGGCGTTAGTTGAAGCCTATCTGTTTACTACTACCTTCTTGTAAATCTAACGTCACTGCGCAGTTCGAAAAGATATTCGTCATTGGTCTGCCGTCCCGCACAGATCGCCGCGATGGAATGATACTCCAGACAGCCCTCAGTAATTTCGAGTTCGAGTTCATAGACGGCGTCGATGGCAAAGATATACCTGACAAGGCCATCCCGACCAGCCATGAACTTAAACGTTTAGATAATCCCACCTTGGGAGCCTGGAGGGCGCACATCAATGCAATTCAAGAGTTCGTGAACACTATCTTCCAAATTCATAACCCTTGCGTCTTACTAACCTCCCGTTAGAGTCGTTCGGAGAAACCTGTCGTCGGCCTTAATCATGGAAGACGATGCCGACTGGGATGTCAGGATTAGAGAGCAGATGCACGACTTCGCGTTGTCGGCACATGCTCTGACGCAGCCTTTAACAGGCTCGTCTAAGTTTACTGACGCAACGTTCCCCGAAGCCAAGAACGGTCCCTCGGCCGTTCCGGACCTTACGTTCGGAAAACTACCCACCACGGTAACTCCGAGAAGATCCCCGTACGGTGATAATTGGGACGTGCTCTGGCTTGGCCACTGCGGAATGCACTTCCCGTTCACAGATAGGAAAATCGTACCTAAGGGCCGGGTGGTGCGCCCCAACGACGTTACCGTCCCTCAGCACAAGCACCTATGGTCTATCTACGAGCCAAGTGACTTAAGACAACAGTATCCGGCCCACACTAGGGTTGTCCACCACGTGCAAGACGGCGTCTGCTCTCTGGTATACGCGGTCACGCAGCAGGGGGCGCGGAAACTCCTATACGAGCTCGGGTTGAAGGATATGACCTCGGCGTTCGATATTGAGCTGAGGTGGTTCTGCGAAGGGACTGGGGAGCCCAATCGAGGTCACCATAACTGCTTAACTGTAGAGCCATCACTCTTCCAGATTCATCTCCCAGCCGGTCCGAAGAAAAGCAACAGCGACATCTCAGATCACGGCGAAGGTCTCCAGGAGAAAATGACCAAGGTGCTAAGATATAGCGTGCGGATGAATGCTGAGGCGTTAATGGATGGTCGATTAGACCAGCTCGTGGATCAGTGGCCAGATTCATGAGCCCGCCGAACTACGTAATTATAACTTATAGATCTCACCTGGCAACCTTCGAGATATGCCTCGCCGCGGCGAATGAACTAGAAAGAGGAAACCACGCACCGACGTCGGTCCCACTTAGCCTTAAGGCTTCTGATACGATGGAAATTAGAGTTCGCAACCCGCCTACGCCTCCGGAAGCCAGTCTCTGGTCGTTACTGCATGATGACGACGACCCCTAAGAAACAACAGTGTCTATAGTACTACTACACAAGTCATTAAGATACCTGATAGAACCGAACATCGGTTTTATGTTCTAGCCTTCTACATTCGTCACTGCGAACCTATTTAGATCGCAATTGTTGACGACGGCGTCAGGCGGGGGCAGAGAAAAGGGCAGCAGGGAAAGTTTAATGTATATTAAGGCGGCGGCAGGATTAATTGTTGTCTGGAAAATACAGTGTTCCTTCGAAGAGCTTACTTCTTTCTATGCTCGCTAGTTATGTCTAAATACCTTAGGTAGGTAGGTTAATCTATTATTCTAGCCAAAACCCCTTAACGAATTTCGGAGGTGGCTAAGAAATACACGAAGTATCAATGACCCCTTCTAGTTTAATCTAGCCCTATCATTACATGTCGAAATAACCTAGTAGCTACCTCATTCAAAATTGGTATAAGTTGATTACCTGTATGGGACCGACGTGTTATTTAGGAGGTAGGATGAGATGAATAGCGCAGATCAGTGAACAAGTCCAAATTATATTCATTACTAGCTACCTAGGGATCCCTTCCTAGAAGGACAATGCAAAGAAAAGAATTATAGGAGCCATCTCACCGGATCTAAGGTATAACCCACCACCTCGCACCGAATAGCCCAACCCCGAAGGTAGAGTCTAGCTAGGTACCTACCCCCCTAGGCTGTCGGTTCTCCTTATTATCGAGGCTTTCGGTTGGTATCGTGTCGTAACATGGCACTCCTTCGGCCAACCATACACCGATATGCATAGGTATATATATATACCTATATGTATACCCTCATCTCCGCAGGCTTGGCTTAGTTAACTTACAATCAGTCTTCCAAGCCGCATGTTTCTTCGGTATGGAAGAGCACCGTGCGAACCCCTATATTGTGGGTAGATACCTAACCTAGGTAGGTACCTATGTATGTTAGTTTATCTGCGGTGCTCTCGCAGCTAGCGTTCGTACCTAGTTAGACCGCCAAGGTTATATAATTGGCATTGGGCTATGTTCAACTATACGCTCGTAGCCGCGATCCAATCACTTCGCTAACATAGGGGCTGGATACATACTAAATAGGACGGGGTTTGGACCTATGTAGATCTTTATATGCTATCTGAGGAGAGGCGGCCTAGGCTTTGTTCTCTGTGGTTCTTTTGCCCCTTTGCAGTATCTTGTTAGGTACGGTAGTCTTGAGAGTATGGTCGGCGTGGATTCCCAGCTGGCTTTTACTGTTGCTGATGTTATGATGACTTAAGTTAGGTACTGACCGATGTAACATCCATGATAGAATCCTTATAGACCATACAGCTTTAGGAGCTTTATTATTTACCCATGGCGATGCTCAGCCTCATCCAAAAAGTATATGTACATATATACCTGGGTATATATCCAAGTGAGAAGGCATCGTAGCCTAGATACAACATCGCGTCATACCTAATCAGAGTCGAAGCCCGGCTTCGACAGGACTCCTCCGGAAAGCCGAGAGCTGCCATCTGGGTATCCACCCCGCATTCCAACCATTAAGTCCGGGAGTCGCGTAGCTAGCTATATAACACTCACGTCCCCAGCCCAGCCCATTCGCTATGATCCCCTCGGCGACGTCGCCTCTTGGTATACAGCGAGTATCGTCCCTGGCGATATCTTTACAAACTCTAGGACATTTGGTGACCCAGCGACCAAAAAAAAATCCAGGACCAATATCCTGCAAATATTAGATCAACGCAATGATAGATAGCAAATCTACGCCATTCCCACCGCGAGCGAAGCAGGGAAGAACAGCGAATGCATACTCCTCCGCGTTATCCATCCACGACAAACAGAGACTTCGGCCCGATAGCCATAACCATCCCCCACAAGTCCCAGTATTTGACCGCAAACCCGGCCGCTTCTAATATAGGGCGGGGTTATCTGCTCTACGTTATCGTAGATCTGAGCGAGTATTGTAAGGTCGACATTATATCTCCTTTGGAATTAGGAAGGGATTCGTATAGATATATCGTCCTTCAAGTATTATTAAAGCTACCCTTTCCAGGAAAAAGTTGAGATAATCGGGCATAAATGAACCCGAGAGTCAGCCCGGCGGCTCGCGGTCGCAGGGACTCCAACTTCCAACTCCTAGCTTCGCGGATGGGTTACGATTATACTATAACAAGAAAGGGTTAGTTATTCCTTTCTCGGCCTGGTTCATATGACTAGAGAAAAGTGGACAACACAGTCTTTTAATTCTCCCAAGGCGTATACGAGGTTTATAACTTACCATTAGTTAGAGTGATAGATACTACCATGTCCCCTAGCAGGGTCATGCCATGTCATGTCTTATACATGAACCATCCGACTTCGGGCTGTATCGTATCATTTCCCGTGCTTCGGCGCATCTGCGGTCTACCACCAGCGTTGACCACCTCTTTGGACCGAAATGCTCGTATCGCCATCGACCCGGCCACCATCTCGGTCGGGATCTCGATGCCGTCCTTCAGCAGCGTCACTGGCACTTTGCTGAATCCGCTTGGCATCTGGCTCCTCGTCAAACTGACCTCCTGTCCCGGTTTTGCCCCGTGCAGACATCTGCCGCTCTCATCCCAGAAGCAGAACGATGTAATCCATCCAGAGTAAGTCGTAGTGCCGCTACCGTTAGGTACCTGTTCATTGCAGATGCCCTGCCAGAACCTTCTTGTGGTATCACTCTCTGGGTCTCTGAAACTGGCAATAAACCCGTCTAAGATAGGCCTAAGCAACCGAAGCCATCGGGAGGGTTCCGAGCCTAAAGTCTCCAGCCGCTCAACTCGCTCCCGGATCTTAGTCCAATCGCTTTCCTCGCCGAGTAAGTTTACGGACGGTATTCCGCATCTCGTCCCCCAACTATATGTGAAATACTTCTGCATCGTGCCCATAAATATGATGCTGGCGACGGCCTGATCTATCTTAGTCGTAGTCGTGAAAGCCGGCAAGACCCATTGTTGCAGGTGCTCGTCCCGCAGTCTTTCGCCCAATATTTTCGTCATTATATACGCCAATTTACCATGGTCGGCGTCGTCTAGATCGACGTCGATATGTAACTCCTGTTGACCCTCGTAGGTGCAAAATCGCTTGCGCAACTCCTCCGCGTGCCCGTTAACGTATGAGCAAAACTGCGTTAGGATAGCGAACCAGACATCCTCCGGTCTTATCACCAGGCAATAATGCTCATTATACGCATCCACGCACGCATGAACAAATCCGTTCTTCGTGGCGAAGACGTTGTCCTTCCTCTCGAGCCCCGCAAACGAACTCTGTACCAACTGTCTGGCCCGCGGTGGGCTGGTGCGCGTGTCGTCGGTTAGCGTGTAATGTAGCAAGATCTCGGGCGACGATGCGAGTCGATATTTGCGACCTGCCCAGGATGTCGACCCATTATTTGACGGCCTGACTGTGACGGGCATGTCAGGCAAAAAGGCGTAGCTACATCTGAAATTTACAAGATTAAAGAGAAAAACGAGGGAAAAGAAGGGGAAGAAATTATCAATGCTAATATTAGAACAGCAAAAGATGACAATAGTCCATTATGACCAAGAAAAATGAGCAAATATACAGGCTGTTATACCGGGACTATCACCGAACCTCTAGTTTTTTTTCTTTTCTTTTTTCGTAGACGCCTCTACGGTTCTAGGGAGAAGTCTCCCAATTAGGCAGCCGGTGGGAAGTAATGTGCAATCAGGGACTGGATGTAGGACTGGATGTATAATTGGATGTATAATTGGCCCACATGCGATGTTCGGGTGACGCCAAGTACGGCCTAAGCCGTGTAGGGCGACCGAGATGTGATATGAGCTACACTGTAAACGGCACGGATTTGCCGCGGCATTGCCCCGAAGTACCTCTCATGCCCATTCAAGTCACTCTCACCTGGTGGTATTCTCTGGTCGACATTCGAGACAACCCGGAACGAATTTCTCCCGTCCGGGGGACAAAGGGGGACGGAGGGAGAGACGAACGTAGAGCTCGGTAAAGCCATGTTTACGCATCTTACCTTCTGATTTGTCCGCCTCTCATTGCCGACTACTACCAACCTGACGATGGTTGTTGGATGGGTCGACGAGGTAGTTCGTGAAGGGTCAGGGCGCAGGTAATAATACAGCCGATATTGGCGCAAAATCCAATACTATGTAAATAACTGGTCGGAGTGCCGGGCTGATATCATCTATCATCTGCTAATAGTAGACGCGGCCGACATAAATGAACAGAGGAGCTTTGTCGATCTTATTCTCAAACCAGTAGGTCCCGCGAGCTTTCTTGCCATCAACCAAGGATCTCGGTATATGTCTGCAACGTTTCTTCAACCTAGACTCGGGTTAGGGGTTAGGCTATCCACCACGTGTCGAGGTGACCCGCGAACGTTAGCTGCTATACTGCATTGGGCATATCAAGTTCATCAAATTCTCTCCTTCGGTAGAGAATTCCACTTTAGCGATAATATAGTGAAATCAATCTAAGCTTTCGCGATCCAGGCCCGGTGCCATCTTTGCCACGCGCCGGCATTGTCTCTTGGCCCGTCCGGACAATACGAATCGGCCCGGCTCTTATAGAAAGTCGAAGCTAGTACCTATAGTTCGGCTTCTGCAAGCGAGTTTTCGGCATTTCGCGAGACAGGTAGGTAGAAAGAAACTATAAATCACGAGACAGGGTCCTCCCCTGGATATGGCGCCCTTGGCGACCGCTCTGGTTCGCCATAGCCTCGGCGAGCTTTCCGGACTTCTTCGGATCTCGCAATGGGGTTTAAACATTTAGTCGGGGGGAGTAGCTTAACCCGAGTATAATTCGCAGCCCTCGGGATTGGCATTTAATTGGTCCCGAATTGTCATGTTTAATAAACGCCCTGGCTTACTTCGAAATTAGGCCATGGAGCTGGCTGCTGCTGCTGCTGCTGATGATGATGATGAACCGTGTTATTCCAGTTCTTCTCCGTGGGCTGAGCGGCTGCCCGAGTACGAAGGGGGAAAAACTCGGGATTTGACAAATGGAGATGTGTTCGTCTTGACTAATTGAAATGCTAGTTTCGTTAATAGATTGGTCGACGTAGGTAATTACGATGCGATGGCGGAGTGAGATGCCTGCAAGACAGAGCTATAAGGCTGGAATAATCGATCCACTAAGAGGCAGCCGGCCCGCCTCGGCTTGGTGCAGTAGTCCCGTTCCGGGTCTCGGTGTGGACGTCTCCAGAGCAGCGGGTCCAATATTTCCATATCTACAGCATGTGCTTAGGTTAGGTGCTTAAACTACCTAACGTACATGCCTCCTACATAGGTACGCACGAATTGTCCCTATGGCGCAATGATAAGCCGCATTGCACCAACATGTCTCGGCGGAACTCCCGTGCCTCGTGGTTGATATCTAAACTATGCCCAACGTTGCCAAATGGACAGTGGCCCGCAGATATGACGTTGTGTTCCTAGGTTGTGATACGTATTACGACTGACTAAATAATTAGAAAACAAACCTCCATTATAGCATCTCCGAGGATGTTGCTGTTGGCTCGTAGGGGCCCTGGGCTGAACTTCCCCCCAGGACTTTAAGATTATACGCTTACACGGCGAGTGTTATGCCACAGCGCTGTAGCAGCTATTCTTTGACATGGCTAGATATGTTCAATATAGGTAAGCAGATTAGTCTATGGTTGTGTGGTTTCCCGGCATCTTACTCCACCCGCGGGCATATCTCTTGGCTATTCGATTATATATTCGGGCTGATGGTGTGAAGGGGGTATCTATAGTAGCTGGCCACGCCAATTATATCCTAAGGACGGTGAGATTCGGTTTAGACACCAGTCCACTTCCCAAACTTTTTGTAATTCGCAAACATCTCCCTAAATACGGCGCGCCCGTTCGCATCTAGGGATTCATTTAGTACCCTCCTGCATCCCTGTGGCGTTATGTCGAGGAGTGAGTAGACGCCCGGCTTGAGAGCCTTTCTAATGTCTCGCGGCACGTTCACCTCAAGCTGCAGTTTGATATATAACTCCAATATAGTGAACATATCCTGCCCCGCTGTCCGTTTCGCAATGTCTGTTGCGGAATCTAATTCGTTTGACCGCGTGCGGGCCACCGATGCCGCACTTGGCTCGCATATAAGCGTAAGGAGGCGAGTGAACCGTTCTGCGTGTCTCGACTGCAGGTGAGATCCAAGCCATGGTGGACGAGTTTGCGAGAATGTTGCATCTGCTTTGTCAATACCAGGGTCGGCCAATAAAGTAGCAAGGAGTGCTCTCAATGCGCCAAGCAGGATCGGGAAATGCCCCGTCAAGCGAAGTCGGTGTCGTTTGAGTATAAGAGCCACTAATCGGTATAACTTATCGTAAATCTCTCCTGCTGCTTTATGGTCCTGTATTTTAGGGCCCGCCTGTGAGCATACATGAACAACACTGCTTAGTGTTGCTTCGATGTTGAACTGAGCCATGGCGCTAGCGTGCCTATCAAGAAGTAGCAGTAAGATCTCAGACAACTGTTTGAAGTGTTGGAGAGATTCCGCCTGGCTTAGTAGAGAGGCAAGTCGCTCATGTACGACGCCAAGGTCGATAGTATCTTGGGTCTCAGCACTAGATGATGAGGTAGCATGTCCTAAAGTGACGTTAGACATGGTTTTGTTTAAGAGTATTAATTGTAGGGAAACTCACCATGGCGCAGCTCGACAAGCCTTCTAACAGCTAGGAGGGGTCCAATAGCGCCACTAGCCAGCTTCCCACTGCCGACTAGTTCACCAAGCAGCCGATCCCTTACGGGCTGACCACGATTCTTCACAAAGGCATCGACCAAATCATATACGACATCCTCATCAACCGTCGTAGATGCTTGTTCTAGCTGCGTAAATAAACCTAACGAATCGTATCGATCTGGGTGGTTTCTGAAGAGGAACGCCCGCAGCTTCCAGCCAATGTGGGCTTTCTTAGACACGTATGATGTACTCATACTTTCCAATTGGTGGATAGTCTTATCTGTGAGCTCAATCCGCCTCTCATCATAAGCATCAGCAACACATGCCGCCCCGCTTAGCGTTATAGAAAGTGAGAGTATAGTAGACTCATCTTCCGCAACTAGATCCGTTTGCTTGTTCTTAGACGCAAATCTAGTCAAGCTGTTCTGTACCTGTCGTTCTAGTTTGCGTATGATTTCATCCACATTAATACTTGAGATATATGACTTGTTAGAGGAATTGTGCAGTGTAGAGACTATGCTCTTCACCAGAAGTATTTGAGAAGCTGTGTCTTTTGATGCCTTTGGATCAAGGCTCTTCACAAAGTTTGACGCCTCGGCCAAGTAGGCTAGGGAAGTCCCATCGGTATTAGTAACCATTTGCCTAGAGTGGAGTTAGCTTCGGGAGAGAGATATATATAAGTGAATATGCATTACTACTAACCGTAATGTTAGGTCGGTGAGCTTCTCAATTAGAGCAACAACATTTTTATCATCTTGCCACATATTGGAAGATATGTAAACAAGATCGTCAAATTCCATATCCTAGTAAAATCATCAGTATTGGTGCTTCGACTTAGGAGCAGCTACCTACCTCGTAAAACGTTGGTTGCTGCATTACTTTGACCAACAATCTAAGCACAGTTACTGCGAATAGTGAATCTTGCGATGCACGATTGGCTATTTTCGATCTCCAATTTTTCCACGAAGACATGATGCGCTTTCGCCGCCCTTTCGTCAAGGCTTCGCGTGGGAAGTCTAAGAGAATCGAAAGCATCGAGAGGCCCCGCGGTTGCGTCCAGCCTGACTGATTTTCTGTATCGTCAAGGCTATCAAGTGGCTTTGATATAAGAGACTCAATTAACGCTTCATCGTCTTCGCAATCGAAGTTATGCAGGAGGGGCCGTAGAGCGTCGCTAAGTAGCGTGTCCTTATCAATGATGAAATGTTGTTCGGTCTGCCAAAACATATCTACAATGAGATCTCTAAGGTCAGTGGTTTCTCCTTTCGGTATATCGGCAAGCCTCGGTAGGAATCTAAACGCATAGTCTACGTAAGGCCGTGATACAGAGGAATCGATGTTGGTTTTCATTTCAGAGACGACCCTTTCAAGAAATGAACTCGTGAGTTTCGCAAGATCCGCGTAATGCTTGCCTCCCGGGTAGTTAGCCAACCAGACATTGTAAGAATAGCCAAATGCTTCAAAAGTCTCAGGGTCAGATAAAATACCCTTCTTTAGGATACGCTTAAGAATTGATTTTAACTCGACCCAAAGCCGATCAACTTCTTCTGACGTCTCCCAAGAAGCCATACGGCCGGCGATACGCCATCTTAATGACAAAATCGAAGACGGAATATCCTTGTAGTTCTTGTCTTCAAAAAGCGCGGAGAAAATCTTGGAATCTACACTTCTAGTGAAATCCTCTTCGGTGATGCCCGCTGAGATTCCATCAAGGACAACTAAGAGCGCCCCGTTAGGAGCGTCTGATGAATCTAGGCGCTCCAAGACACGCAGCAATTGTGTGCTAGTTAACGTGCTTTGCAAAATCCTAGCTAAATGTTGTCGAATTTCAGCATCAACCCATATTGATTGGCCTAGCGAGTCGGCAGCACTCTCACTAAGACATTCGTACCATTTCTGGATAAAGCCTGAGAAGTTTCGCGCTTTTGCGAAGGCGTCTTCTAAGGGAAGAATAACCTCCTTGACAACAATTTCTCTTGTAATAAGATCATGGCTTGAAATAGAACTTATTCTGTTGAAAACACCTTCAATTAGAGAGTCATCTGTGAGGAACACATCGGCATCACAAGCAAGAGCCTTGGAAATTAGTTTCCAGTCAGTCTTATCCGTTCTAAGCGCATGTTCCCGACACACGGTCCGTAGAGCTGTGGTGTTTGGAACTGAGTTTGCCTGGATAGCCGTATCTAATAGTTGAATGATGATTTGATTTCGAACTAAAGGGTCCAAAGATTGGATAGCTTTGAGTAAGATCGTAAAGACGTTCTGAGCCCATAACGTGTGCTCAGCTTTCGATTTCGGATTGCTCGAATCTCGGGGCGTCCTCGCTGCTATGTCCCATGTAACGATGGCGGAGCCGCCTAAGTTTCTCTTTGCAAGGTCCAGAGCGATCTCTATTACCTCAACATTTTCGTCTGTCGCGAACGTATGCCTTGCGGGGCGAACAAAGTATGCATTCAAGAACCTCTCGAGCTGTCGAATCCAGAGTCTCCTAGCCTCCTCGCCTGTCACTGTCACAGACGTTACCCCGGCCAGGCCACGTAGCCTCGTTAGAATAGAACATATAGGCACATATATATGTCGGGCAAACTCAAGGCTGTCGTCTTTATTATGAAGGCGGAGATTCCAGAGAATCGTGATAATCCCGATCCATGATTCTTGATCGCCAGAAAGGCCATGTTCGAGAACGCCCAGTGAGCGATCGCAAGTCAGAAGTAGCCCTGCAGCTATATCCCTAGTTTCTTCGTTGGATGAAGAGAAGAGCGATTTGATATGCTCGGCTCCGACTTTTCGTTCTGAAGTACTAGGTCCTGTGAGACGAGCCCCCTGGTCAAGGAGACTACCTAAAGCCCTGAATAATTCGGTAGCCGACTTTATGCAACCTTGAGGAGTACGAAGCTCCTCGATATCAGAAGGAAATCTGTCGTCTCTCTTCCTCTTTTTCGGGTTATCTGAGGTGATTCCATTCGTCTGAGTCGACGATACAGGAGAAGGTTTTCGAGCCGTGGTAATGTCGTTTATGGTCTGGTGCAGGATAGAGACGAACCGAAGAGAGGCGAGCGACCTTCCCAGTGTTTGCGGTGGGATCTTGGGAAATACATGGCCCAAAAGAGACCAGGTAAGAGGATACCGTCGGACCTGTTCAGCATCCTCGGTCTTGCCGCTCATAATCTTGAATAGCCATCGTAATATATTTTCTTCTACACCATGTAATCTCGTACTCTTTGTAGCTGAAAGTAAAACCCAAAGTGTGCGAATTTTCTCGGGTAGCGTAATTGACCCATCTTCGTCGAGAGATCTTACAGCCTTGATTAGAGCAAGCCGGCGCGACTAGATGTTATGTATTAGTTCCAATTGTGTCATATTTATTGTATAAAAGCGCAGGATAAATTAGTTTAGCTTACCCCTACGTTACTATCCACCTCCATCTTGTAATTGAAACACTGCTAGCATTGCCAGGTGTTTAAATGCTACCTAATATTATAAGCTGTCGCGACAACTCGAGGTACGCACGCTGTAAGTTGAAAGCTTCTAACTTTTTTTTGTGGAACTCCCCGCGATCTCCAAAATATCACAATTCTGCCGCTATGACTAACCTAAAAAGGAATTATTGTATTCACCGCCTTCGGGTTACCAGGGAACACAAGCCGATCAAGCTGCATCAATCTTTTGTGCCGAAAAAGAATATTTGTCGAAATAACGATAGTTCAGCCGTAGTCTCTAAGAAATACTCAAGAAGCACCCAATTTCGAACGTATGGGCTCCTTAAACTTTCAATCGCCTAATCGAAACTAATTCTTTCTTATTATAGTCCTTGACACCATGTCAGACAGCTCGGTCCCCGCGCCGCCTAGCACGGTCTCTAGGCCTGTGAGCGAGGCACTTTTGAACGAGAAGGTATGACACTACCACTCCTAGTCTCAGTATACCGTTGTCGCATAAGAGTCGCTAATATGAGGGTATCGTAGTGGGACCGCTGCATTTCCAATATGCTCATAAAGTCATCGCTCGGTCTCGGATTCGGCGTCGTCTTCTCAGTTCTCTTATTCCGACGAAGAGCGTGGCCCGCATTTGTGGGAGTGGGTTTCGGCGCTGGCAGGGCCTACGAGGAATGCAACTGGAGCTTGAAGCAAGCATCACAGGAGCTGAAGAGGAAAGCATGAAGGGGAGCTGGATGGTAGCTTTAGAGGGGATCATCTCGACGAAAAACACATTCGCGAGCGTCACTACACTTGTACAACAGAAACAACACCAATAGACGGCCTGACTACCTTGATACGGGCGTAATTGGAGCGAGCACACTCATCGAAAAAAAGGAAAAACTTACTTGTTACGCATTAATAAAGCAGGGAGTTAAACACGATCTTCCGGGACTCTCTGTACCCATATCAAACGCTTAGGGGGGACGCATATAATGAATGATTGGAAACCCTGGCAGGCCGTAGGAGCGCTATTCTTCAACCAAGCCCCCGTCCTCTGCATCCAAGATTTACTCATCGATATCACTAGCAGTGCCTGTCCCTCACGGCTCTTCAACGTCCACCGACCGCTGAAATAGGCGTAGGATCCTGCGATTTGCCCTATGCCGGACCTTCAGTTCCTCCTCTAGACAGACAGCACATCCGCTGTCCGGCATGTTCTGCGTAAAAAAGAACCACTACCCTTAGTTCCACTACTTTCCGTATTACCAAGAACCGCCTCCTCGTCCAACCTGTGTAGGGGGTGCGTTGTCCTCCTAAACTCGCATGCATCCCTCTCAATGCTAGTAGCAAGATCTGTGGTCTTGTGCCAAGCCGATTTGATAAGATCTTCCGCCGACACTTTTCTCAACTTAGACAAGAGCGACCTGTCTTCTTTTGGGGGTCGTTCCTCCGGTATGTGACAGCACTCCAGGTCTATCTTTTGAATTGCTTTGCCTCCTTTTGTAGCTAAGGACCTGATGCCCACTCGTATACCTACCAAGAGAAGCCATCCCATAAGCAGGACTAGGAAACATACTCCCAAAGCCAGGCCATAAATCTCGCTGAGAGAGGCAGGTCGTACACCCAAGGGGTATGAGAATGTAGTGTGTTGGAAGATATGTGGCGACGCTGGGGTCTGAGGGAGCATCGTCTGCTGCAAGGCCCGCGTAGGATCATCATCATAATTCGAGTAATGCACCATAGTGAAGGCCGGGGCCGATATAGCGTCCCTTTCCTTTTGATACTGCCGGCTATGACTGATTACTCTATGATAAAATGTGCTAGTGGTTGTGTTTCGTCTTTTGGCTTGGCGACAGAATGCGCTGCGAAGTTGCCTAGATTGTTTAGTTGTCATCACGAGATGCCACCGCTATTAAAGGGTACTTTACTGTAGAAGGGTTTTGCAATAACAATATCAAGAGGATATTTGCAGCCGAGCAATAGCTTTGTACAAATAGTCAAATGGATAAGACATTAATTTCTGTTTGATACCGGGCTGGGACAATGTCCATGATAAGTACGTCAGGAACAGCCTGTTTGTGGAAGTGTGACGATATTTTAGCAACGGATGTTAATAAAATATTGCTCAGTAGCTGACTACGCCGCAAGAGGTTGAACAATAGTCAAATGCACAAAGTCATTGATAGTTGGTCTTCCTTATTTTAGCAATTGCCAGGATAAACTAGGTCTCGTGTAAGCAGTGCCTTACGTGGAAGATAGAAGGGAAGAAAGAGCAACAACATACAATGTAGAGATGTTAGTGGAACTTTCGGTCTGAATCGCAACTTACAACGCATGTGTGGTAAGACTTTTAATCACTTACTGCCCACAAGGAAACAACTAAGGGGCCAGCAATATATTTATCATGAAAAAACGATATGGTAAACGCTCTTATTTTATACTTCAGATAAATATAAATATTGCTCATAAACCATCTCACCAGATTGGCTAAATCCTAATGTGAAGGCTTGTGCGATGAAAAGTGAAAAGTGACTTTAAAAGGAAACTTGCATTGATTTCACCTCTTCACTTTCTTGGCAAACCTATCCATCGGCCCTTCCCTAACCACTGTATCCTGAGTTGTGTGCTTAAGTTCGCTCTTTCCACTTCCCTCTTGGGTATCAGCGTGGTTTGCGTGCCTCCTCTCGTTGCTACCACCACCACTTAAACCTTCCATCTCTGTTTCACCAACATTTTCAAATAATCCCCTCCATGTCCCATCTTTGACTTTGTCGTCGTTTCCATATAGCCCAATAGAATACGCCCTCTTCATTGCCGCAATACACACGCTTCTCCTCTGTCCAAAGTCAAACATCGGAGTTGGATAGTTTCCATCCGTTCTCATATGGAGTCCATCTCCTTTAATTTTCACCCCGGCCTCGTCCAGTGCTGCTTCACTAGCCCTCCACGGCTCATAAATAAACTTTTCGTCTAAGTTCTTTAGCTCAGGCACCCATTTTCTTATAAATTCACCTCTCTTGTCCCACTTCTGCCCGAATGCCACGGGGCTATAGCAACGAAAGTACTGGGAGTAGAATGCAGTACAGCTCACCCATTGCCAGTTGCCGGCATTGCTAGCTGGTTCGTGGTCGATCAGCCACTCTTCAAAGACGTCGGCTCCACGCTCCCAATGTACATAACATCCACCTCTAGTGAGGAAACAAGCTACCATATGACGCCCCAGGTGATGAATCCATCCTTCGACGCGTAGCTGGCGCATCAAAGCGTCAACGAACGGAAACCCAGTCACGCCCGCCTTCCAACGTAGAAACCATTCCTCTGCCTGTGCAGAATCAACATGATACTTGCCGCTAATTGCATTACTGCCTGTCTCAGTTTCCCCTACTCTTGAGGGTAAGTGCCAAGGAATAAACCGGCAATATGCATTATTCATACTTTGGGCTGTAATACTAGAGTCAGAAGTTTGTATGCATATGAACAAAGTCAACAACTGCTTAGAAACATATGTACTCACCGAAAGGAGATCCGATTGCTGCCTGAGCCGCGAAGTACATATCCCGAAACAATAGCTGACCGGCCAGACTTTCAGGCGGTGTGGATGCTTCCTTGCCGTACCTTTCGACCAGATCTTGCGCCCGCCAATAGAAAAGGCGTGGCGAGAGTGCACCGAAGTGTAGCATCGGTGACAGGAGGGTCGTTGATTGTGGCTCGAAAGCCGCAGGACTGGTCTTCGGTTTCTGGAAAGTGGCCGCGTATTTCTCGTCTGAGAAGATTTCTTCTAGATGTTTTAAAGCAATTGTCTCACCACCACGGTGCGGTGTAGTAGCTGTGTCTGGGAACCCAAGCTCCCCGAGAGTTGCAATAGCAAAATCTCCCCTAGGTCCTGCAACGCGTGAGTAAGTCTTATCAATCTCACTCCGGTGTGGGGCATTAAGATCCGGTTCCGGCTCCGGTTTCCCATGTTCAAAGTCTATGGGCATATCTCCTGGATCTGGAAGATACTCTGGTGTAGGTACGGGCCGAGGTATCTTCCCAACTCTCCTCCCGGCAGCTTGAAGTTGGGTAATAGACATAGTTGGCTTTCCTCCATGTTTGGCAACGACCTCATCACTATCCCAAAGCGTACGTCCATACCGATAGATTACTTTAACGCCAGCCTTTTCTGCTAACGCCACCACGATTCTATCTCTTTCTCGGGCATAGACATCTGTGTCCTTTTCAAATACTAGGTGCGTTACATTCCACGCTTTAAACAGTTTGGGGAAGAGTGTTTGCGGTGCTTCGCGCAAAACGAAAAGCTTGGACTTGGGATTGAGGGATTGAATGGACTTTGAAAGGTCAGTCTGACAGTCGAGTCTAGCAACATTAGTGATTGGTTTCGCGGATTCAACATTCGAGACCTAGAACTCACAGGTATTGCCACCTGTTCACTCCTCCTCTGACTCGGTACACATAGTGAGGATCCCACGTAAAGATAGGCCACAAAACAACAGGATCTAGGTCAAGAGCCGCTCTCAGAGCGGGAGAATCGTGGAGCCGAAGGTCTGTTCGAAACCAGTATATTACGCGTGGCTTCCCCATTGTGGGGTTTGGCTATTATGACTGGCTTAGAGCTAGACCACAAGACCTATCATTAACATATGCTTGTTGAAGCTTGAACTTGTTTCATGGGTTTGAGTGAGTCCATGATGTCAAGACATCAGCCACACCCGGACCCTTTGGCGTAGACTGGCCCGATACTAAAAGCTAGCATGTAAACTTTGTAATGTCGAATGGATACCTGGTTCCAAACACAAAGTATCGACACAGTCGTTTACGTCTTAGAGGTACCACTTAATGCCATTACATAGCAAAGTCGACAATTGTCAATAGATGTGTTCGAAAGATAACTGACAAACCCCTCTATTTCTTAAACTTTTTTGCCCCTTTCGCTAGGTAAGTTAGAATGTGCCTAACAAGACCTAGCCGAGGTTTTAATTATGGCTACGAAGTGCATTCTGTTCATACATCACCAAGTTGACGAAGCTATGTAAAATGGGGCTTATCCACGAGTAGGCCCCTATTTGGGAAAGTCTTGGTCGCCGATTCGGCCTTCTCCACGATATAGGCCCACGCTCTGCACTAACGCAGGAACCGTTAAGCTATACCATAAGTAGGTAGGGCTTTGGGGTAGGGGCAAGAAGGTTGGAATATTTTCATATCTACATACATACATAGTAAGTCGAGACAACGACGTTAGATCGTCAACTAGTTGGCTGTCTATCATATGGAGCAAGTCTGTAGGCTTACCGTTTCACTCGTACGCAGCGAACGAATAGCTCCTTGGAATGAATCGTCTGGTTTGCTGCTGGCAATAGCGTAATAATATGCATATGATCGATTCACATGCCAGCGATACGCGTACGAGAAAGACATAACAAACTGTTCAGGTATGGTAAACTTGGTAATTACAGCCCTAGTAAGGAGAAAGCTATTAGGCTATAGACATATCTTACCACAATTTGGTTTTAAGCTGCAGGTAATTCGAGATCCGCATCTGTAAGTTACTTTATGGATGAGGAAAAAGCCCCGAAGTTATGCATAAGACTAATATATTGAAGATTGTTTAATTATAGCTTTTCCTAGGTTAGGCATCTCTATGACGACTTTGAAGAACCTTAGGTAAGTTATGAGCACATAGACAGGAAAAAAGGCTATATAAAAATTACAATACCAATATTCTTAGTTATACTTAAAGTATGAAGGCAATGTCATCGCAAGTGGTGGGGAGTGAAATATATGGGGCTATGACTGGCGTACAACCGGATATATTTGCTTGTTGTATATCTCATGTATCTCATGGTAACACGAATATGCAGGTATGGGGAAGAAACTTATATTTAGCCCTCACGTCGACGATGTGGGGAAGACGGGAAGAGGACAAAGTTGCTATTATTGTACTGTCTACTTGGGAATTAAGGAATACGCTAGGCCTGTATTAGGTAGCCAATACCTATCTCGGTCGTGTAGCCCCACTAAGCACTAAGCTGCTAACCGCAAAAATACTAGGCTATATATTTGTCGCCCTCATCTCAACGTCTGCCACGCCCACTCATTCAGAACCCCCCTTGCAGGCCCTGTCCAAAGTACCTTGTTTCAGACCAACCTGAATTGGACCGCAATCTGCAGGGCCTCCTTTCGCATTTTCGTTGTATCTGATCAGCTATGCCCCGAGTCTAGTAGTCAGACCTTATTGATAACCAAGTTTTTTTTTTTCTTCTCATGGCATATGTAATCCGTAATACTCCCCATTTCATCCACCACATCCGTTTATTTACGCGCCTTCAATGGTCATTAGCACCATCTATTATTAGAATCGAGCACACGACCAAATTCGACACAATTGGCCCGAGATTTGCACCAAGTTCAATCCATCGCATGCTGATCTTTGTACAGATTACTGATCTTTGTACTGGCTGACTGGTTGACTGCCCGGGTGCCGACTTTGTAGGAAATAAAGTTAGGTGGGCACTGAATTGGTCTGTGGTCAAGGCGTTCCCGACCAGCTCTTACCAGCTCTTACTCCCAACCCCTTGCGACAATCCACCACCAAAGGCGCAAGACTGGAAGAGGCTAGGGAAGAGGGAGATAAGGCAGCACAAGGCAGCACAAGACAGCACAAGGTTGGAATAAATTTTAGGATAAGGCATTATCGATTGCTGTTATGAAAGGGCGGACCCATATCAAAGTTCATTTAACATTGATCCGTGGGAATTGATTCCGCGGATTCTTGGAAACATAGCAGCCATGACCAGACCCCAGATGATTCGCGCAGGTGAGTCGGATCTACATACAAGCCTACCAACCTCTAAATGGGCTAAAGGGAGAAGGGGGAAATTTTTGGGAAGATTATTACAATGCAACACCCAGCTGACCCCTTGTCTACAAAAAAAAAATTATGAATTGATTGTTTCTTGTGCTATGCTAATACTTTGGTCCTTTCGAATTCTACAGACACTATTGATCTACAAAGTCACGACACGCCTTCTGCTAAGAAACACAAATCTCCTTCGTCGAACGCAGCGCCGAACGGGTCACTCGCGCCGCACCAGGCTGAGACTTTGCGCGAAGTTGAAGACGACAGGGCTGGCGAGGAAGCTCGAAGTCCTAGGATCTCGTGGACCGATGGTGATAACAGTAGCGATTTGCAGCAATACGCCGAACAACTCGCGAACTCCTTGAATGGCAACAAGATGCAATCCGAAGATGCGCTCGCAATCGCGCAGAATGGAGGCATCGTGGGGAATGGCTCCGACGATGGCGACATGGACGCCGACGCGGGTGATGACCTTGATGATGACATGATGGATAAGATTTCGAGTTCTCCTTCAATTGAAGATGGTGGGTACACCCTTCCGCCTCCTGCTTGGCCACGGCGCGTCGACTCGCTACGTCCTCTGGCCCTGCATTCCGTTTCCCTCAACTTTCCAGCACCCAGCGAGATGAGACTACCTTCACCGTGTCTCGAATCCGCTGAACACCCATCTATACAACCCCCAGATCAGCAGGCAAGCAAGGCTTCTGCTTACAAGTCAAATTGTCATCATCCTTTTCCTGGTGAGTATAATGGATCGACCGACCACGCGAACCATACCGACGACTCGGACGACTTGTCGCTACCCGAATCCGAATCGAGCATGTAGGAAATAAACACGACGGCTCTGGTAGACGAAACAGGACGGTATATCGAAAAGGGGAACATCGACCAACGCGTTACCTCCGAGTCACAATCAAAGACCGTGAACTTCTCTTTGAAACGTCAATCGAGCGCGCAAACTATCGAGACCGAGCTAGACGAAGAACAATTCGCCATTTCGCCATATTATCTACTTCCTTATGATGCCTCCGAAGAGGATGATGATGACCATGACAATATTTCTTTGACCACTAATACTAGATTCCTTGATGTTGGTTGGGGTGGTAAAGACTTACAAGACTTAGAGGACATCGATTTCGAGTTCGTTTACGCTCTCCACACTTTCGTCGCTACGGTCGAGGGTCAGGCCAATGCTACCAAAGGCGACACCATGGTGCTGCTGGACGATAGCAATAGTTACTGGTGGCTTGTAAGGGTGGTTAAGGATAGTAGCATAGGTACGAGCCATTGGTATATTCTAAGCCCTGTTCCAGACTCACGTTTGTTTTCCAGGATACTTACCAGCAGAACACATCGAGACGCCTACTGAAAGGCTAGCACGTCTCAACAAGCATCGGAACATCGACGTATGTAATTATGCTCAAAGAGACTAAGGATTCAACTCTAACCGCGATTTAGTTATCGGCAACAATGCTTGGCGACCAGGCAGAGAAGACCAAGGGCACTGCTATAAAGACTGCCATAAGGAGAAGAAAGAAAACCGTCACTTTCACGGCTCCCACTTATGTTGATTATTCCGACCCCGAGTTTTCCAGTGACGAGGATGACGAGGATAGCGAAAAGGAACTCGAAGAGCAGGGTTCACAGCACCAGAAGCAAGAGCAGAAAGAGTCTGCCGATGATGTCTCTGATGATGAATCCGCAAAGGTGGAACCGCTCAAGCCTAGGGGTCTACAGAAACAGGTCAAATCGGACTCTACTAAGACCGACGACAAGGACAGTACGCTGTCGCCTGTTCAAAATGACCGCAGGGATAGCAGCGATATTTTCGATCATAAGGGTGAGCGGGTTACAAGGAACGGTACTGTTAGGAACACGGATTCTTTCTTCAAGGATGAGACGATAGAGACTAAGAAGATCACGTTGACTCCTGGTCTGTTACGGGACGATAACGAGCCCCGTATCTCAAGCGACTCGAAGGAGTCACTGCGGCTACGACCAAGTTTGGACAAAGAGCTTACGCCTGACAGAAACAAGGACGATAAGAAGAAGCGAGAGAAGGATAAAAAGGAGAAAGAAAAGAAGCCAAGCGCGATTCGGAGTTTCTTCTCGAGGAAGGATAAGAAAAAGTCCCTTGATGATGACGACGATTCGTTTGGCAAGAGGTCCCTGGATGTCGCTGCTGAAATAACGGAGAAGGAAGCGGATGAAGCGCACGCAGCCGACGCGGACCTGTCGTCTGAAAAGGCTAACGGACCTCAGCGGAACACAAGCAAACTTCAGAAACATCAGCCCAGGACCGACTCTTCGCCCAATCGCAAACCTGCCATCGCGCCGTTACAGGTTGGTTCGGAGCGCGGTCCTATGCTGGCGTCAGAAGCTAGAAGTAACAATGTAGCGAACGTACCGCCGGCGACACTAAGGATAGTGGAGTCTGATCGGCTTGAAAGTCCAGACCGATCATCTCAGAAGAATGAGAAGGGCGGCTCGAGGTCGGTCGTCACGAAGGAAAGCAAGCCACAGAAGGTTACCAAAGCGAAGTCAAGACTTGAGCTCGATGACTTCGATTCGCCCGAGGAAGATGAAATTGCGTCACAATCGGTCAGGACACCTCCGGAATCCACACGGCAACCTCCCGAGACGAAGCAAACGCGACCAACTCTGCCGGGAACATACCCAGATAGTTATGTCAGCACTCAAACGTCAGTATCGGAGCTCAGTGACCAAACAGTAAAGCCCCAACGCCCCATCGACGAAGAGCGGCTCTCGGAATCTCCTGTTCAGGTCTCGCCCGTCATGTCATCGAATCCGCCTGCTCTCATGGTCGATACTTCTAGTCAGGAAGGCCAGTCATCTCCTGCATCATCTCCATCGCCAGAGCTAGTAGATACGGACAACAGGACTCACGGAAAGCAAGACTCGGTGGCGACATCGACGTCAGCAGCGACTACGCCGACTTGGAACGACGCCAACCTTCGCGCATTCTTCGACTCGGGCACCGATATCCGGGATCTGCTGGCCATCGTCTACGACAAGAACGACGTGGCGCCCGCGGGCCCCGAACATCCTGTTATTGGCTCTCTGTTCCGTGAGCAGAATGCAAGATTAGCTGAAATTACGACGGTGAGTTTCTGCACGGGTTTTTAATAGTGTCTGTTGACTTTAGACTAACGATTATTGTAGCAATTGGATAATATGCTCGGGGACTGGTTAGCCCGCAAGCAACGGCTTCGAGGCACGGTGTAGACCGTTGCCGTATTCTTCGTTTCACAAGTATTCGCATGAGGCCGGCGTTTCTCTATCGCGTTACTCTGATGATTGTATAGGCTACAAATCTTGTTTTTTCATCTTGATCCCATTCAGCTTCACTTCTCGGCCGACTTTTTTCTGTTTATTTTAGTAGTAGTATTTTTTTTTGGCCCTCTTCCTTTGCGGCACCCCCAACCTTTAACAACAACATCATCATCGGTGTAGGGCGCTCGGAGTAAAGAAGATTCGTTTGTGTATCTTTGATTTTTGTTTTTATTTTTGTCGCGTCTTATGTAACACCTCATCCCGGTGCGGGCGGTTTAGGGGCGAAGAATGGGAGACGCCGGAGAGTTTCTAAATACCATACCATCCATCGTTCATCTTCATCATGACGAAATACCATACCATACCATACCATACCATACCATTCCATACCAATGCCTATCTGGGAATCTTGTTTTTTGTTTTTCTGATTAGGTACATACCCATATCCCTCTCTTTTGTACGTCCGGGTCTGTTCCAACACCAATGTTCCGTCCATCATCGTCTACGAAGTCTACTGCCCGAGCCGAGCCGACGACGCCGCGTGTCTATTTTATTTTTTATTTTTGCGATCCTGCGAGTTTGTTTCCTCCCGAACAACTGTGGTGAGGATGGAAAGTGGTGGTTGCATACAAAGTTTTCATCACCCCCCCGGCCCTTGGGGGCGCGGAGGGGAAAGGGGAGCCTGGTGTTTTCTCTTGCCGCTGGGTTGGCTGGGTTGTATACCTAACCTCTAAACTTACTAGTCTTTTTCGTGTATAGCAAGGCAACCCCGCGCTGCTGTATATATTCGCTGCTGCTGATGCTGTTGCTGCTACGCTTGCCGGACGAAGAACGTCGCTTGGAATTTAGAGAGCGCGGCCTTTGGTCGGGCGATGTGTGAAAGGGACGGCTAATTGTTACTTCTCAACACGAGCATGGTGATGTGAATACGATAAGATTTCTTGCTTCTTGGCTGTTTTTGCAGGGTGCGGACGATATATGTGAATATTGTCTTGTGTGGAGGTTTCGGGTTATTATTAAGAGTATATATGTCTAACCTAGGTACTTATAAATAACCTCGAACGTCGTATATATAAGTCGGCACGGGTAAGGGACTTAGACCCAAGTCTCTTCAAAGTTTCTCGACTTAAAACGAGGAATTATAAGTTCACTGACAACGAGACTAGATATCTAAGTAGGTAAGATCACACCGAAGGTCATTTACGGAGACAACTAGCTTTCCACGTTGAAATTCGTATTTATTGTTATATAGCAGTCTTGATCGCCAATAGTAGCAACACTCAAACCCACCAGACACTATCCGGCTTTATCCAGCAACTAAGTTGCAAATAGAATCCCGTATTCTTCAACATCCATCCCAAAACCGCAGACAGAACCCTCACCATCTCAAGCCGACGCGTTCGCCTGAGCAGGACCGAGGATGTTCTTCTCGTACACGGATGTGAGTTTGCCCGTGTTGTCGTTCTGGATCTAACACGCACCAAGCCGTTAGCACTACATCCCCCCATCTACGTGACCTAGACAGAACAGCGGGATAAGAGGAGAGAGGGGGGGGGGACAACGTACCTCGTAGCGCGGATCGTCAGAGCTGGCCTGGACGTTGCGATCGGCCTGGACGCCGGGCTCGGTGATCACGTCGGTGATCTTGCCCGTGCTCTCCGGGGTGTTGGAGTCGGGGCCGCCGACGGGCTTGTAGCGGACGGTCTGGCCGGGCTTGTACTGCGGCGACATGGTGGCTGGCTGCGTCGGGTTGGGGGATTGCTGGGATGACAAGTCGTTGTTTTCGTTGATTACTTATTTGACTACCTATGATATCGATATCGATATTAACGGTGCGATGTTTCTAAGCACTGAAAAACAAGTCGTCAAAGACAAACTCGGCTCTTTTATATCCTCGCTAACCCCCCAGCTGGGACAAAGCGGTGAGATATCGATATTCGGGCGTCGTCCGTCATGAAGTCATAGACGTGCGTCGTGGTGAGACTGATTTCATAATCCCGACTATCAAGATCCGGCGTATCCACCGCGATGAAGAGTCGTGGCTTGCAGGAGGGGGAATTGGACATCTATCTATCACAAAGGGGGCCGTGCGAGTGTAGTCATCATCATATTGCAATGTGCACATACATAGAATACCGTGATGCCCGCCGGGATTAAAGCCCCGCGCGGCACGTAAGGGATAAGTAAATAAATACCCAAGCTAAGCATCTCGGTACTCGATACGATACATAGCAATAGAACAAATTACGGCGAGCCTAATCCGACAATAAAACATCAAAGCCGTCTACATCGTGCCATAGCATAGTGTCGACCGTAGGGCTGAGAACGGCTGTTCGTAGGGATGGATGTCGTCAGTCCGATGTCACCACCATCATCAGCATCCTTCTTCTTACCTGTCATACAATGACGCTTAGTTTACCAAATCAAGCGTCGTTTTCGAAGCTTGAGCCTCACTGGATTAGGTATCTGGGTATGTGTCCCTTGCATTGGTTATTCGAACCAATACTATTACACAATAAGAAGCAAATAAATGCCCCACCGTTAGAGTTGCTTCATTAGGAGGTACCTTATAAAATGACGTGGAAGCTGGTTGATCAGCGGGTGGAGTAACAACTCTGCCCAAAAGGGGTTATTATTATGCTTAAAGGACCAAATACTTCTCCCCGATCCCCTTAATAGCCTCCACGTCACCACCCGCCCAGTAAATCTGCTGGAGATTATACGCTGCCTCCTGGGTAAGGTCGTCTCTGCCCATGATACCGTTGCCCGAGTCGTCGGGCACATCCTGGAGTACGCGCTGGTAGTACTCTACGGCAAGATGCGGGATGCCGATGGCGTGGTAGCTGCGCGCGAGATTGTAGTGGGCTTCCTGCCTCTGTGCCGCGCTCGGCGAGGATACTTTGAGCTCGTAGTACTGGTGTAGGAACAAGAAACCTTGGGTTAGGAGGAATTGCCGGTTCTCAGCTTGCCTCTTCAATGCGTAGTGGACATAGCAATGACCCACGCTAAGAATGACCATGCTGTTGGTCGGATCTAGGGTATAGGCTCTCATGAAGTAGTCTATAACCATGTTAGTGTCCTGCTTACCTACAAATCGACACATCATTATGGATATCTTTTTACTCACTTAATGCGTAAGTAAAACTGTTCGATATGAACAAAATATGTCCGTAAAGCATCAGCAACGTGATGTCCAACTCCTTACTTGGGTATACCCTGCCGCTAGGTACACCCTCTTCGTCCCCGCTGTCTTCAGCCCCTGCCGCCGCGGTAATAGCGCGGTCCATGAGTTTGATCTGTCGTAGCATATACTTCTGGACGGGACCAGAGGCATACCACGATGCTGGCGACGGACATAACCTAGATAAAGTAGAAAACATCCGGAAAGGATCTGTATCGTACTGATACTCCCTCATGAGCCAACGAGCCGTGGCTACACACGTCTCCTCATCTCTACTACGTAATGCGCATGCTGCATCATATTAGCCACGGCCCGTCTTACAATCCGAGAGGAGCATCTTACCAGCCCATGTTACGTGTATTAAGAACACGTCCTCCTTAGACTTAGAGAATATCGTGGTATCACGGGCAGATTCGCATACTTTATAAGCATCCTGAAATCTCCCGACTTGGGCCAGACCGATGGCATATTCGAGGAAAAGATCAAGCCACTCGGCAAACGAGACGCCTCGATAGCTCACGGCTACCTTGATCTGCTTCTCAGCGCCAGAGTCCTCTGGATTTAGGTCTATATTCGGATTAGTGTAGGCTCGTTACCATTTAGACATATACAACTTACTGTTGGATAGACGCTCTGCCATAGCTAGAAGGTTTGGATTTCCTTTTCGGGCTTCGGCCTTCTCGCGGGCCTGATTTATTCCAAGATGCGCCAAATACTTATCCCAGCTATAGAAATCCTTGTACGATCTAAAATCATCAATAAGGAGTCGAGCTGCGGATAAAAATGCATTGGATGGACCATTGGCATCGGCTTCAGTCGAAACCCGTGAGTCACGCACGACCTTCCATGCTTCGGATAGTTCGTCCGCCCTTCTCCTCTCTTCCAATTGCATTTCATCAGTGCGACCAAACACCTTGCGCCGTCTCCTTGATGGATCTGGCTGTGCTCTAGGTCTGCGTTCCTTCGGCTTTGACTTCGGTTTTAGCTTCGGTTTTTCGCCCTTTGGTTTGAGTAAACGCTTGACTCTCTTTGGGTTTGCGCTTATATCTTCTCCAGTGACACGCCCCAGTGCAGTTTCGAGTAGCGAAGTATCGTCGTCTGACGCCCGACCTTCATCGTTATCCTCTCCCAAATCTTCGTCGTCTCCACGGGCCTCTTCACGAGCTTGATCGTGGGCCTCCTGCAGTTTTATGGCCTCGTTTACAAGGATATAGGCCTCTCTTTCTTCTCTTGCGGCTTCGTACATCTTTGCTAATTCGTAACGTGCATCGATGCAAGCCTCGCTATTAGCTTCATCCTGATCGATGGCAGTTGTAAAACATTCTTCAGCCTGTCTTTTATCTCCCGCGTCCAGATAACACTGACCTGCCCGGATAAGAGACTCGGTATCAAGAAGGTCAGGTTCCCGGAGCGGTTCATAAAAGCGTAAGGCCATGGGCAGGCGACCCGCCTCGTATAATGCCGAAGCTGCATCAATCAGGAGATGCGAATGCTCAAGGAGTAGTTCAGGCGTATTGAGAACATCCGGATCAATAAACGCTAAGTGACGCTGATTTATGTTAGCTTTCTTGATGGCAATACCAGAGTGTGCAGTCTTACCAAAGCTTCATCCTCTTGTCCAAGTTTGAGGCGATACACAGCAAGTTTTGCTCTTAATTCCAGTGGAAGACCCTTGCCGTAAGATGAAGCAGGATGCTTCCCGTCCTGATACTGTTCTACTTCTAATCGCCGCGTGCTATCTTCATCCCATTCGCAGTCATCCCTTTGGTTATCCCAAAACGTCTCATCCGATCGAGTTAGGAGCCACCTTGATAATGATCTTAGCTCACCAATAGCATCCTCGAACTGGTCAATATACGCAAGAAGTTCGACGAAGATTTTGATGTCTTGCCAGTCAAAGGGATATTGAGGGTCGAAACCATTCTCTCCAAAGTGGGCAATGCAGCGTCGATATGCCTCTATGGCCTTTCTAGGACCGTCTGCAAACCGGGGGTTTCCGGTGTCCGCGAGCAGAACATATATTTCAGCGTAACTACGGATGGCATATATATCGAAGGGGCACTGCTCAACTAAGGCGGCATAGTCCTTGACTGCTGACTTAAGGTGACCCATTTCAAAACGTACCGCAGCCCTCCCGTGACGTGCTCCGCTATGCTTGCTGTCGATTCTTAGGGCTCTCGAGTAAAGCTTGTCAGCGTTGTCGAGATACTCATCTGCCTGTTCTGGAGATTCTTCTCGAAGAGCGATGGCCAGCTCTGCGCACTGAAGCCACTCATCTATGATTTTTGGCTGTAGATGCGCGGCGAACAGCCGTGCATGGAAATGACCCTCCCTATCACCTTTCTCCTGACGTAGCGAAGCCAGGAGAACCCAAGCCCGATAGGTCTCGGCATTTATACGAATAGCATCGTTCACAAAGTCGATGGCTTCATCAATACGCCCATCCATGTACGCGTTTGAAGCCATATTAAGGCGATATTTAATATCACCAGTTGGCTCGGCAGCCTTCCGAGGTCCTCGCTTCTTGGCGGCTCGACTACCATGGCCACCTCGAGGACGATCTGGCTTGACATCAGCACGGAGGTACTTTCTGATGAGTCCACGCATAGGACGGAGTTTTGGCATGGGGTTTTCCGAGTTGAGGTGATTCTGTCGCTCCAGAAGCGCGTCGGTAGCGGAATCCATCGGATCTGCTTCGTCTTCTATAGCAATCACTGGGGTCGTTGTAGTGGCTGACATGCTGTATGAGCCGCCTGCTGAGCTTTGCGACTGGGGGAGACTCCCCTCATTACGAGGAGCCCCTGGAGGTGGATAAGGGGTTGGTACATCCCTCGACACACTACCCAAAGGAAAACCCCAGCCTTGTGAGTTAACTGGATTTGGATGAACAGTTGGATACGGATGCATCATCAATGGTGTTTCTTTCCTTGGAAGAGGCCGAATCTCACGGGGCGGGTAAGGTTGAATTGCTGGATAGCTCGACCTAGACATAGAAACATTGCTGCTGAGCTGTGGCCGCAACGCTCCCGCAGCTGTGTTTGGCAGAGGATGAAAGGCATTTTGCATATGACTTGGGCCAGTACTGAACCTTCCGTATTGAGTTGCATCTGGGGTAATTTGAGAAGAACTTGAGGGTTGTGTTTGTAGAGGTATCGGGATTGTGCTTTCCGGATGAGGATTTGTTGAATTTCGCTTGTCTGACTTCTGAGTGAAGTGCGCCTGGAGGGCGTCAAATGTAGACGAAAATGGATGGCTCATAGTGAGAAGATAAAGTGCCGCATAAGTTTCTTGTGAGGAAAAAGGAGAACGGGATGGCGTCTTGGTTTACCTAGGTGGTCTCAACTAGAAGGAGGTCGATGGCACGTTGCGTATTTAGAGCGAGCTAGCCCCAATCATTCGATATGAACAGCAGAGACTTGACATTGACCATTCCGGATGACTTGTGAAAAAAGCCGCGGGGGTAGGTAGTAGAAGGTATCGCAAACCGTGTTGAAGAAACAGAAAAGGTCACTGCGTGTAAGTCAAGATTTAAAGTACCTAATGTAACTTAGCTCGAAATTCTAAGTGGCGAGTCTCATCCTTTGATTAAAAAAACAGGCTTATCTACATACTCGAATGCAATTAACCGAGGTGTAACTAATGATGGAAACGGGTAAATCCATAAGTAAATCCATAAGCGACTATGGTGGCTTGCAAGAAAACAGCATATCAAGGTGTAAATTCACTAGTCACTTAATTAAATACGTTTCTGATAGCTTTAAAGGCGTACTGTATTGGCTTACTAGGTATTACGACACCTCCAGCTGGAAGACCCTTATATTTCATTTCGGATAAAGATGTTTACCTCTTAATAGTGATAATCTGTGTACACGCATACCTTACAACAACAACCTCCTGCTATCAGAGGGCTGCTTTATAGCTTTCGTCATAGCTATCAAATCTCAACTTGGGTTTGTTGTCCAAACCTTTATCCGACGCGAAAAGCAAAACATTCTCCTAACTGCTCATTTAAAATCTGTTCACTGAAGAAATCTCTCAATCCACGACTAGGATGCCGAGTAGATATCGAATATCCTCGGCGTAATTCATGTCAACAGCTTTTTTTTCCCTTTTTTTTCCTTCTTGTTTTCGTTCTTTCAAATTCTATCTTCAAATTGCGATGATTCAGCCGTAGTGAGCGAATGTCATCATTATTAAGTTGCAACGGCTAGCCCAGCTTGCCATCTGCCTTGGCCTCTGTGTATGTGTTAGCAAATCCGTAAAAAAGGCGCAGGGAGCGAGTTTATTTACCCTTGACTTGCTCAAATACCTTCAACATCTTCCTGCGAGCTCCGAGAGCATTAACACCGCGATCTTCTAGAGCCTTATCATCAAGTTCAATCAGATCCGTCCATTTCATGTCCTTCAAATTGTCGGTGTACTTGTGGAGTCTCAGACTTCGAAGCCAGGCTGGTATGTCTTGCAGAAGGGTCGGGTCAGTAGGATCCTCCGGGGGCTTCGAGGTTCCACGGCGTCCACGGGGCGATCGGCCACGAACCATATCCGAGTGGTCAGACAGGTAACCCTCGGGAACACCCACACCAAGTTGACCCATGTTGATAGCACCGAGTCCGTTGTTCAAGAGTGGATTCTGTGCGCTGTCGTACGCACTTAGGAAGCCGTTGTTTTGCGGAGAGGCAAAAGGCACTTGCCCGAAACCCTGCATTGCTATGCCAGGAGAATTTGGACGAGATCTGTGGGCTGCGAACCCACCCATGACCTGATGGTTCTGTAGGGCAAGCATCTGATCTCTATTCAGAACCTGGCCATGCTCATTGACCATGATGATGTTTGTGCCGGGGATATTTGATCCCTGGTGTCCAGATTGGATAGAGTTTAGATTTTGACCAGGTGCCTCGTTAGAACGGGCTCGTCGGTACTTTCGTACATCATCAAGGGCGAAACGATTGTTGACTGTAGATAACGCCGCGAGCTTCATTGCCGTCGCATTGGCCACCATGTCTGCCTGGTTGGCCGAATTGCCAGTGTTAAATGTCGGAACCATAGGAGTGTTCACCATTGAAGCCCAATTTCCACTTCCAGTCGCGTATGGCGAGAGAAGCGGCAAATCATTAGCTGACTTATCCGGGGCATTAAGCGTAGTACTTTGGATATTACTGCCGCCTAGTTGAGGTCGAGGCGACCTCAAACCCGCCGAAGGTGGGGGCTGAACAAACTGACCCATGGGAGTCTGACCGGATGACGACTTGGGTCGCGAGCCATTTTGGTCCCAAGGCGACGCGGGATTCTGTGCATTGGGATCAAGTCCTTCGGTCGGCGCGGAGATGGTTGGTGCACCTAAGGGGCTTCGGATATCTACGACCGTACTGTTGCGGTTTGAAGGAGGCTGGTTTCCGGTCTGTTGGGTAAACTTGGCCTTTTCAGTAGCAATGGCTGCCGCGGCATCAGGAAACATAGCGTTTATAGTTGATGGGTCAAGCCCAGAGTGTCTCTTAGTCGACGCTTGCGGTTGCGAAAGCGAGTTCCTAGCTGACCCAACGTTCAACTTATTCATAGCATCGCTTAGACGATTCGACATAGGATCTATGGAGAATAAGGTAGTTAGTACTATATTACAGTAAATGGGACGGAACTATCGTCAAACATACCTTTGTCAAAATTGGCCGGGGATAGCACACCAGACATTGGGTGGTTTTTCCCCATTTGCTGAAGGACTTGGATGAAGAACCGAATTTGGACCTGGGTAGTCTGCTGAAGCAAAGCATACAAAGCAGCAGTACGCTCAGCCTCGGACAGGACCCGAAACCACTGTTCAATAGCACTGAGTTCGTCCTTGAAATCCTGATCCAGGGTGGCGGCGGCCATTTCTTCCAGAGTTGTCTCGTACTGATCAATATCAGCAATCCATTGCTGGGTCACTTTATCTTGCGGGTCTGCATCAGCGGCCCCTTGACCTTGGCCTTGTTGGCCATAGAAGTCCGAAGAGGGACGGATACGGTTCGACGTCGCGGGACCAGCAAGAGCGGCCATATCAGCAGATGCGCGGAGGTGGTGATTATTAGTGGCGACTGTTCGTGACGACGGCGGACGGAGTGACGAAGCAGTCGAGGCCTCCGGAGTACTGTTTCGGTTCATGTTGGTAGTATCGTTGAAGTTGTAGATTCTAAAGGGAATTTCGCAAGATATCGTAGCAAATTTTCGGGAAACTGCAAATGGTTGTCGGTAGCTAAATGATGCAGCGAAAAGCTAATATTCGTTTCTTTGCCAATAAAAAATGCTCAGGTCTTTGCACGATAGCAATAAAGCAACGACGGCAAGATTATCCCTCGATGGTATAACCTTGAGAAATAGTTGTTATAGTTGTTATAATAGAATACTGGAGTGATAGCGATGTTGATTATATTGCTGAATAGCCCGGCGAGGATTTGTGGTCAACTTGTGACACTTTTCAGGGCGAAGGGACCGATGGGAATTAAAACGTCGGCGAATCAATTTAACAGGAAGTCTAGTGTAAAAACTTCCTATATGTGTCGTTCGTGATATGATTGACTTGCAAGGCTCGAGCTCAACTCTCTAGCAGAGAACGATGGTAGAATACCTTTTTCTTTCTCTCGAGAACTCCTGCAGTAGCCTGCTGACCTCAAAGGAGTCTTTGAAAGGAGGCAGTTGGGAACGAAGCGATTATTGATAATGCAGAATATTAGATAGGTGACTACAAGAAGTACATGTTAGTAAAAGATGCATCGTTAGTTGAAGATCAAAGCCACCTCGACAGGGGAAGCGGTATATGTATGTATGCCGGATGATTGATCTAATCCGAAGATAAGGAATCTGGGTAGATGTAGGTACAGAATAGAGGCTGTATGACAGATGGTACTTCTGACGAAATGCGAGGCAACGAAGGCCAGTCAAACTCGTCTGACATGGCGGTGATAGGTGCTAAATTTCCATGACCGTAATATCGTCCAAGGGGATTTTAATTCGGAATTGAATGCGATGGGTCACGAGATGCAGAAGATAAAAAAGCGAGCGAAACTTACCAAGCAATAACACTGGGATCAACTTCTACTCCAGGGCCAAAAAGAAAGGAACCAGCGGCAGGGTTACCCTCGAGCTGCTGAGGAAGAGGATGTGAAGGAAAGGGAAGGGGAAAAAAAGAAGCTGTAACTAGAGAATTGACTGGAGACTCGAGACTGGAGCAAAGGACTGGCCAGATTCGGGCACAAAGCCTGGACTCTTTTCGGAAAGACCCTTGGCATAAAGGCTGCACTGCTGCACTGCTGCTGCTGCAAGAGGCTAAGGATCCTATGGATGGAAACACCAGCTCTCCAACAGAAGACCGACCGCCCCGTAATCCGTAACCCTTTTTTTAGTGGATACATCTACAGCCCGCTACAGGTACAGCCCGCCTCCCGGTCAATGTACATAGATGTTGCCTCAAGGTACCTAATATATGTACATGTATGTAAGTACCTCATTAAGTGTGCACCGCGCAAAGTAACATCTTCTACGTAGGTAAGGTAGGTACCTTATTTTTGGTAAGGCATTCTTAACCTTATTAGTCGGACGCAGCTCGTGCAATCTGAGCCTTGAGGCAAGAACATTGAAGTGTCAACTTGCACGCATCTAGACGGCTCAGCGCTAAAATTCAATCTAAATGTGCGACAGAGGTAGCACAGTATACGTAGCGTACAACTTGGTACCTAGGACCACTAATTGCACCAACTAAAATAACAGCAATGACGAAGTCTTTTTTGGCCCGGAAGGCTTACGGTTACAGCCCCTGGATTACACATGACATCCATTACCTAGGTACCTAAGGTACTTACTGGAAAGGAGTCGTTGCCTCGTACAGGTCCCCTATTAGTGCGGCTAGGAGAACTCGAAACGCCTAACTTGTCGGCTAGGGCGTGATCATCCACACACACTCTTCATGTTCCATCTGTTGAAGAATTGGTAGACTGGACCGTGAGCACACGGCGGCTGTGGACTTATGCCAATTCCATTAAGAACACGTATACGTCTCAATTTATATGTATTTCATATCAATCATAACCGGAGGTTATTTCTAACGACGGTATCTAAAACAGAAGGGTACCTATGAAGTATATCCTCGGAAGTTGTCTCAAGTCGGTCTGAATATTCGATTCTTGATTGTTTGTCATATATGTAACTCTAAGTATAGATGCTAAGACTCCTTTATAAGAGGGAATATGTATATATATCACGTGATTTCAATTCTTACGTAAGATATGGTTCAGAAGCACACAACAATTGGCTTGTCTACTTGTCCTATCAAGCAGATATACGACGATAGATGGGGAAACGATGAGTTCATCGACAAAGTAAAATAAGACCATTTATAAATGTTGCCTAGTCTCCATGCACTCTTGCCTTAGAGCAGGTCGAAGCACGAGTGTTTGGTAATTGACTGGCGAACCGCTCTCGGCACGAGAAGAAATATCCTTCAGTAGATAGGCATGGGGTAGGCCTAGAACTGTACACACATATGCCGTTTTGTCATCACGTATTGGTCCAACTTACGGTTATACTGGGCGCAGCAAAAGGGAGAAAAATCGCAGAGGCGCAGGAAAGTCGTTGGCGAATGTAACTCAGTTGGTTACCTCTTCTTCTTCTTCTTCATTGTAGAAGACTGTGCCTGGATACAAGCAGCAAATGCATAACCTTGACTCCTTGATCATGCCTGAATGACCCCAAATCGTGCCCTGATGCGCATTCGCGACGTCGTGTCTCGGAACCCATTTATCCACCACTTCATGCCGTCTCTCGCTTGCCCTCCTTCAGCTCCTTCTGTATTGATCGTCAGTATATGTTTATTTTTGAACTTCACATAGTCAAGTTATGTGTGCGCGACAAGGCGAGTGACGTACCAAAGCCTTCATGGTGCCGTGAAGAGCATGTCGATGATTTCTTCGGAACTTGGGGTCGGTTCCATTCAGAGACGGGTATCTGCTGGTCTTGGGCTTCTTGATACTAAACACCATCAATTCGTCAGCCAAAACTCGGCGGGTATAGACGAATGCTTCATCTAAATAGCTCTATCGACTCGAAATGGACATACCCGTTACGGTGAGCCTTGCGCGACTGGTTGTGCTGAGACGAGTTCTTGGACTCTATGGTAAAATTGTGAGCTGATTGTTTCCTGATAATTAGAGCATGGTTTTCTAACTTACTCGCCATTGTGACTGGATTGACGTCGGTTTGTTTGGGGAAACACAGTAATCGACGAATGTTGATGTTGTCAGTGAAAAGAAGGAAGTTCAGTTCGTGCGTCTGCTATTACCAGTTGTGGGCAGAAAATTAAGCGAGGGGTCAAGCCACAGTGTTTTGACAAGTGATAGTGGCTTTATTGTACCTTGGATGGAACCTAGAATTGTGCTAGGTGGGGTGTCACAACATCAATGTACCTAAGTAAAGTACCTCTTTCCCCTAGGTTATGTACATGATACCTATGTTGTCCTAGAGACATTAACGACAAAATTCAGGCCGAGAGACCTCTATCTCTCATAGCAAGTATAATACAGAGGTGCTTAGGTTTGTTCAACTATTAATTCGCGCTAAAACTATTGACTTTGGTATGAATGATTCTAAAATATCCTTAAAAGTAATTCTTATATACTTGCGCCTAGTCTGCCTGTACTCCTAACTCATAATCGATTATATAAATGCATTGTCTCTTGTTTAGGACGTACTTGCGTATATGTGTTTTCTTTCGCCTCTAAAATTCTTCTCTAAAAGACTCGGCTACTTGGTTGTAATGGGAACGGCGAGCTTGGCTCTGGAAGCAGTGGCTGCCGCCAACCCAGCTGCTTTAGCGAGGTGTTCTGATCGAATCTTACGAACGTATCTGAATAGGAGGATAAAAAGAAATTCCATCCTATAAGTAGAAGTTAGTATATAAGTGCCTATGATATATAATAGTGTGCTAAAACTTACCGCTCTTTGGTCATCATGAGTATTCCCTGCACCAGGAACCCCTTTATAATCTGGGGCCCAATGCCCTTGAAAAGGCTTAGCAGACCTTCATGCTTGATAATAAATTGCATCACCTCGATGAAACCCTTGAATGGCTTTCCCTCACGTTGCGGTGGGGGTTTCGATTGCAAGCCAACTTTCGCAACTATTAAAGGTTGCGTAACAATTGTAGCTAAGGCTTTCGACATAGCACCCAGGACTATGTGTTTTTGGTTAGCCTACTCTTTCAAATCACAGCAGGGTAAACTTACGGAAAGCTTCTCCTGCAGTCAAGCGGGCCTTTCCGGGGAAGAAAGCGCCCTTTAATCGCTCATATGCACCATACGTGATAGCAGGGTTGACTACCAGCACCAAGCTAGCTTTCAGTCCCCTCCAAAGACCGAACAAGCCATCCTCGCTTTCAATAACCTCGCCAGCCGTATCTAGGAGGCCTTTCCTATCCGCTTTGCTTTGTGTTTGCTGTCTCGTCGTAACCACGGCCACCGGAATCGTAAATAACTGAGCTACGGCACCAGCTACGGCGCCCAGTACCAACTCGACGGCCGTAGACGGTGGCGCCGAAACTTTCTGCGATTTGAAGTAAAGCTCTCGCACGATCGAATACCAATAAAAGTAGGCGAAATTAGTCGAGGCGACTCCCAATAGCGCACCATTCATGCCCGCATATAACCCTTTGACTCCATCCTCCGCGGTAATCTTAGTGATAGCATCCCACGTCGATGTGTAATGAGGGTCGGCGTGTTCGCTCGTATCACCAGGCTTCCGTTTAACCTGGACCTGCAAACGTGTCTTTACTCTGTAAAACAAATATAGAGTTAGTCCCGATTCTGCACAAACCCGAAGAACAACTTACACATCCAACGGATATACTAAGGTATTAGCTAAAACGGCGCCCGTAGCACCAGCTACGGCGAAACCCCATGATGGTAACGGAGCAGGTTTTGACTGCACAGCCATAGCAGCCAGTCGATATACCCTACAGTCGATTTGGGTATATTCACCTATATCGAAGGCTCACACTCTGGGGGAATGTTCTGGTAGACGACGCCGGTGTTTATGGTACAAGATTAAATCGCAATTGACAAATCGAAAGCCGGAAGTAGACTACCTGCACGAGCACGGATAAAGGCCTATGGTTAAAAGGCACTCGGTCGCTTTTTGTTTTGTTTTAGTTGCTACCGCACCATAGAATATAGAAGGGGGGGTGCGATTCAAATGTCTGTATACATTTCCGTAAAGTACTAACCCAGACCACTCTAAGAAGTAATTATAAAGGACGAGGAAAATACTAATCCCCCGGGTCTGCGTAGGACAATGAAGCTGTCCTGACGTCGTCACTCCGGTGATGCGAAAATCGGGGATCTAAGACGCAAAGCCGAGTTTAAAAAGAACGCCCGTGAATAATGGACCTCGGCCATTGCTGGGCTGGCCCACCACCGTCGGCAACTACCTAGGTGTACCTAGGTATGTAGGAATGCGCATGAATCAAGTTGAATGTGGGTAGAAAGTACATACATACCTACAGGTCCACTTCCGGGACGTTGTTAATCCGGATATGTAATTGACCTATGTACCTAATGTACTATGTACTATGTAGAACCTGCCTTACCCGATTCTATACCCCGGTTACATGGATGGCATGGATATGTCATTACCTTATGTAATAATGTCTGTGCAACACAATAGAAAGTAACAACTAATAAATCCACAGCTAGCAACAGCCCAATTCATAAAAGGCACCATCGTGAATCATCACGCTAGAACGCTCACAAACATGTTTTCAATGTGGGGTGGTAATAGGTAGGTCGATTATCTCACCAACTATACAAACTTCGAAACGAAGTAACATATCGAATCGTCTCTTTTACTTGGTCTCTTTTATATATACCTACCTATATATATTGATGTCATTCGTATCATCCACCTAGCTGGAGCTTTACCCATACAATGAGATGCGTTGTCTCCGTGGGCCATGTCAGTTATTTATAACGTAACACTGTCTTCTTCGACACCTATCCACATAATATAGGTCGTTAAACACGAACTTAAACCCCCGTTTTACATGTCCTGGGGAAGGGCCAACAGACGGTTTTCAGAGGGATATGATGCTGCTGTTGTTTGCCAGTAATAGTTGACGTGGAGTTTCTAAAACTGTGCTCCCGGCCTTTGCCTACTAAATCCCCTGCTCACCTTGCGAGCGCGGTCGATTCAAACCCCAGATGCCACGATAACTAAAAAAGCCAAACCTATCCTCCATGGAGGCCAAGGCAAAGGTAAATAGCGATCTCAAGGGAAACCATTCTAAATCTAACCGTGTTTAGGAACAAGAGGCATTGTCCTCCAGGACCCAAGGCAGAGAAGCCCTCGATCATGCTACGGCGGCTGCAGAGCTATATATGAAAGCAGCCCAAGTAGCTTCCAGCCCCGAGGATAAAAGTCGTCTGATTAAAAAATGCCAATCGTTACTTTCTAAGGCCGAGAACCTCAAGAAGTTATGTCAAGCTGGGGGTGGCGTCGCTACGATAGAGAAGCGTCTGAGGCTACCACGTCCAGTACGCAAAACCCCTACGAGCGAGCAAACTATCCTACTTCGTAACTCTCGGCTTTATGGAAATATATTTCCGCCGTGGGACTCGGATCCCACTCCCAATGAATTCAGCGGTAATGTTTTTAGCGATCCTTCGAGTTTTTCATTATCCAACCGCCAAGAAGCCGTTTTCTCGGGCTGGAAACGACCCTTGGAGATTTTGGGTCGAGAGACCCCGCTGGATTCTGCTGAACAGAACAATGACTTCCTAATGGAGGCCCAACACGACTATGACCTAGTCCAGGATATAACAACGGACTGCTCTGTCGTTGCGAGCCTTTGCGCCAGTATGCGTCACCTGCGTCCGGGTCCTACATCTATCCTACCGGCCCTAATGTTCCCCATAGACTCTGAGAGCGGACAGCCGAAGTTCTCTGCCAACGGGAAGTATGTGTTCCGCATGTTCTTCAACGGCTGCTTCCGGAAAGTTGTCATTGATGATCGCCTCCCTTCATCCTCAACGGACCGCACTCTCTATGTTGTAGACCGTCAAAATCCGGATCTTATCTGGCCTGCCCTTATGGAGAAGGCCTATCTCAAGGTTCGGGGCGGGTACGACTTTCCGGGAAGTAACTCCGGTACTGACTTATACGTCTTAACGGGTTGGATACCGCAGCAATTGTTCCTACAGAGTGATGAGGTAGATTGGGACCGCACGTGGAAGCGCGTCAAGAAGGCTTACGATTACGGCGACGTAGTAGTGACGTTAGGGACAGGACGGCTTCCACCGGATGAGGAGGAGACGTTGGGGTTAGCAGGAGAGCACGACTACGCGGTTCTTGATATGTCCGAGACATCAGAGAGTAGGAGATTACTGGTCAAAAACCCATGGTGCGACGGTCTCAGCTGGAAAGGGGCAGGGTCGTTCGATACATTACAGCAGGCAACGGATGATCACCCCGTCAAGTTAAAGCCAGGCTCCTTCTGGATCAGCTTCGATGATGTGACACAGAATTTCGAATCTCTCTATCTGAATTGGAACCCAAGCCTCTTCACCGAGCGCCAGGACCACCACTTCACCTGGCAACTCCCTGAGGTTACTATGGCTGGCTCCTTCGCACACAATCCCCAGTATTCTATGTCTACTGCGGCAGACGGCAGCACCTGGATTCTGCTAAGCCGTCACTTCCAAGACGAAGAGCTCAATATTATGCGCAAGTACCGTGCTACCGACGATGACGATGCCACCATCTCCTCTCTCGCCGAGGTGTCTAATAGACTCGGCTTTATAAGTATATACATATTTGCGAATAGCGGAGGCAAACGTGTGCAACTAAGCACCCAGCCCATCTTCCGCAGCGACTTTATAGACTCCCCGCAAACGCTCGCGCCCTTCGAAGCCAAGCGTGGTATCACTTACACTGTTGTCGTCGCCGCTCAAGAACTACCCCTCCCACAGTACTCCTTTACCCTATCATTCTTCTCGCGCGCTCCTCTCGTCGTCGCCCCAGCCGAGCCCGTCTTGCGTCACTACATAGACGTGAAAGGATCCTGGACGCGCCGCACCGCTGGCGGTAACGCTGCTTCCTCCAGTTACCTAGACAACCCTCAGTTCAGCCTCGTTCTCCCCCAAGCAGGACCTCTTTCACTTCTACTATCTACCGCCCGCGATGACCTACCCGTGCACATTGGCGTGGTATGGGCCGGTGGTCGCCGCGTCACGGCCGTCAGAAACCGTGATATAGTCGTTACGTCGGGCGACTACCGGCGCGGCTGCGCACTCGCCGAGGCGCCTACCGTCGACGCCGGCACTTACACTGTCGTATGCTCAACTTTTGACCCAGGCTGCCTGGCCGACTTTACACTGCGCGTCGGTTCCGATATCACTTGCACCGTGGCCCCAGTGCCAGCCGACGCCGCAGGCCGCCTGCGCACACAACTACCGGATCTTGTGTTCCGCGGCCCATCGTCGCCTTCTTCATCTTCCGACAGCGAAGTTCACAAAAAGAAGCGCGCTGCCGTTTCAGCAGCGCGGCTCACGCGCGCAAGCGTCGTCGTAACAATGCGGGATAACTATCGCGCCACACCCCGAGGAGGCACTAGCACGCCGCGATCGCACCCCACCGTGCGCGCGAGCATCGAATACGGCACGGGGCCCGACAAACTGGTCATTGCGTCTACGGACAATACCACCAGCAGCACAGGCGAGTTCAGAGAAGTCGGTGTTAACGGCCTACGCACAAGCGAGTTCGATATCGATCCCCGCGGCCACGGGCTATGGCTTGTCGTCGAGCAGTTAGGCCTATACCACTCCCCGCCGTCGATAGGCGACGGCAGTGGAGGCGAGCTGCAAGTAGAGATTCTCAGCGAGGGTCCAGTACAGGTTGGGGCGTGGGAGACAGTGAATACGTGATCTGACTGATTTGGGCTGATTATCTGAATATGCATACCTAGGTACCTAGGTACCTACCTACTTACCTACCTATATACCTCTCAGAAAGAAAAGGAATGAGAACGTCGACAAGAGGTAACAACATAGGAAGCGATACGGAGGAGATCACAGGCGGATGGTTTATGTCGTATCAGCGGAAATGGAATAGTAGCGTGGCATGGTGGGCAAGGAACACGGGAATGAAGGAATAGGGGCTCGCTTTAGAACTGACGTATAAACCGACCGAACTGGGTAACCTACCTACCTGTTTTCTTATGCTTAGAAACTACAACTACCTGAGTCGCTAGCTAGCTAGTTAGCTTATGCATGCATGTTGCTTTTCGGGTTTTCAAAGCGTTTATCACAAGGCAAGAGAGGGAGAAGAAGAAAGAAAAAAAGGGGTGGGGGTGTTATATATATGATATTCTTCATTTTTCTTTATTGTTGTCCCTTTCATTTATCGCGTTTCTATTCAAAAGCTGCCGTATCGTGGACGTAGATGATTCGTGATTTATATTCCACGTTACCTCGATGGAAGAATGTAACCTAGATGACTAGCCATACCTACGTACGAGGTAACCAACAATTCTCCCATCCTATGGCTCGCTGGCTGGTAGGCAGGAATTTCCATAGAGGTAGCTAGTGCAGGTACATATGCAGTACCTCTTGTTATGCAATTATGCCCCTCCAAGTCTGAACACGGACATGGTGAACAAGGCAATGTAGGTAGGTAGATTTTTCGCTAGGCCAACTAACTTAGCCAGCCAGCTATATGATGCGAAGCACTCCTCGACTATCAACCGCCGTATCAAGATTACCTAGCCCTATTCCGAGCTGCCCCCTGCCTTTGAATAATGCATGTGGTGGTGAGGGGAAAAAAAAAAGGGGGGGGGGGGGATAAGCGAATGAGTAGGTATATGTAGTGTATGTAGAGTAAAACGGTCGTAAACATAATAATAAAAAAGCAAGAGAAAAAAGGCCAGCAATAAGCACTCCCCTATGTGGTATAATTGGCTACGCCCAGAACG